TTTTAGAGATAAAGCTAAATCTACTTCCACCTAGCTATGTATAGCTGACCTCAAAGAAGCGTCTGGAAGTGTCCCAACCGTGATCAGTCGTGTGGCAGAACTTCGCGACCCTGTGATGTTGTTTTACTTCTACGAAAAAACAGACCATCGAAAACGAATCTCAGCTTTAGTCTGACTTCCAGTAGTACCGTGGGTGCTATCTATTCGGAATCACTGAGTGTTATGGAAAATATCTGGGTGCGTCTGGGTGCGCACGCCAGGTAGATGGATGTTTGGATAAGGTGTCAGTAGGTCAAAACATGAGGACATTTGTCCATTTGACAGTGACCGAAGAACTCTATTTAGCTGAAATCATATGAAAAATATGTAGGTAAAAGGGAATTAGTGAAATAACGCAAGTTAGAACGACCTCGTGTCAATAGCAAGGGCAAAGCCAGCTACACGATAATTCATTTGAAACAAGTATGCCAGGAATCATCTGCTGCATCAAAATGTGATATATAGCCAAGTATATGAAAGATTGGCTATAGACCTAAGTAACGCTAGTACTTGACACCGAGACATTCGAACTTGCTCTATTCAACGAAATATTCGTTTGTTAAGCATTGAAGCTCCTTATTTATCAGGTACGAAACACAAAGCGGACCGAAAGCGTTCGTTAGATAGAACGATGAACATTTAAAAAAATTTCTCTAGAAGTTTTACTGACTGCATCGGTCTTTTCTGTACGTCGAGGGCCTTTGTTGTTGCATTGCCTTTGACATATTTTCAAGCTGAAACAATCACACGACATCGCATTAGGAACCCAATCGTGGACTCTCGGTCAATCTATATATTTGCAGAATAAGTACGTGTGTGTTAGCCGTGCTTACATAAGATAAATACGTGAAACGGTAACTCGCAACAGGGTCTGTATTTTGGTATGAGTGCTGTCTGTAGTATGGGCGCCTTTGACGTATTTCTTCAAAGCCCACCCCACTTTGATGAAAAGGGGCGGCCACTTTTTGCGCTAGCAAGCCACGGATGGACGTGACAGGAGCAATCATAATAATCATCGCCATAACCATCATAGGCTAAGCCGGTTAGCGATCCAGACGAACCATCTACCGTTACATACCCACAACATGTTTAACCGCCCACGGATTTTTTGCGCGCACGCCGCCGCCGCCGCCGCCGCCGCCGCCGCCGCCGCCGTCGCCGCTGCTGCTGCTCATCATCTGTGGCTGCCAGACGAGAGGACCTGCGACCAGTCAGTCTGTTACATATATTCACAGACGTCCGATATAAAAGCGAAAACCACGCGTATCTCGATACAGACCGAAGACTACCTACTACTTAACGACTCGACCACCACTGCCACCTTTAAGTGTGCTCTTCCTTACAAGCGCCACTTCTTCCACCCTTCTACAACTCCAGCTAGGACCGGAATGAGACGGCGCTCCGATCGTTCGCTTGTTGTTGATACGACCGTTTGCCCGAACTGCTTCTTCGTTGGCTCGGCTGGTCTCCACGACTCTAAAAACAATGGCTCGTGTATTATAATGCGCAAGCAAAGCTATCGACGGAAGGGGCCCCATGTGCGGGAGCATCGGGAAGCCAGGAAAAGGAACTAGCCAAAAGAGACACATTGGTCTGCTTCGATGAAGCAATTTCTTCTCGACGAAATACTGATACGCCCCCTGTTGTCTCAGATACTGCTGATGATGACAATGATCATGTTGTTGGTTAACGTGAAAATAATCAGGCAAGGGGATCAATTAGCTGCCAATAGAACAGAAGTCATATTGATCGCTGAGCCGATTTTTGCTCTGGCATGGTTAAGAAGACCTGTACCTAAACTGAATTAAGATAGAAGGTAGTAATGAATAACGCTAGGTCCTAATTGCAAATTTATCGTTATTAAGTATATGAATTGACATTTCGAGATGCTGTCTGTGTCGAGTATCGTCAAAAGATGAAGAATCACGGTCGATAGTTCTCTTTCAGTTTGGCTTGAGTTTGACCAACGGCCTATTTCTGCACTAGTCTGTATATGTGTTTCCTCCATTACAATTTAAACAATTAGAGATTAATGTTAAAGTAAATGTATGTGTGTACGGCGGGACTATTTCTACTAGTCACTGGCACGCGGTATCGTTGTGAGCGGTAATACGGAACTTTTCCTTTTCATTGTTTATATTAAGTTTGTAAACCAAAAAATTTGTTCGCGACTCTTGATTATCGATAGGAATGAGGTGGTAATAATATAAAATGCATTTTGAGTAGAGCTTTCGTGTCCGCCGTTGCCACTACTGCTGCTGCGACAATGCAACTACTGGCATTTATTCAGTATCGACATCTTTGGACGCGCTCGTCGTGGAGCGTACCCTCTGTTTACGGTATACGTATTGCTATTGTAAATTTAGTAAATCTCGTCCATCCATCTGTCTATCACTAATCTACTTGTGGTATAGAGCGACCGGTCGTCGGCGTAATGTTTCAGGCGGCAAATAAGATTAACTAGAGACAAATTATAGTTATATAGGCAGGAAATTGCCAGTATTAATTGAGGCCATATCTTATTAATTGTTCGGAACAAACAAAAAGCCATTCGGCAATGATCACAGGTCAGATGCAAGATAGTGCTACCTTTTTTTGTCCTTTGGTGAGCTATGACAATGTTACTATGCTATAGATCTTGCTCCTTCTATTTTCTATTGAGCTTGCATCAATCGTATCTATACTTCTAGGTATCGCTAGTTCTTAGATGAATCTAGCTTGCCTGAACCCCAGTCTGCGCAATGGTAACCTGAGGGTGCGTGGCATTTGGAGCAAAGCGTTATAGCCTTCCATGACTTGGTGCTGTTTGATTTAATTCACATTGGCATGGGATGGATCAAGGAAATTAATAGTATTTTCTTTTTTCTTCTTTTTTTTTCTTAGGTTTTTTATAGTTATTTTGATAGGAAATTGATAGTCTGTTTTCTAGGCTTGAAAATATTATTGAATTGTTATTTGGATTAGAATCTAATAACGCTGTGGGTAATCAGAGTGCTCCGTTGCAGTGATTTCCGTGAATCAGATTTGTAAGTCTTAATGTCTTGATGAGTCTATCCAAAAGATAGCAAGCCCAAAGTACCATCCGTGGGATGGTGCTTTGGGCTTGCTATCTTTTCTGTTTTAATCTAACCTTTGCCTAAAAACAACTATATTTCAGTCGCCTGAGACCTCTGACATGGTACTTCGTAGATAGTGTATATGCACAGCAACACTGCCTTTCACCACACTATGTCAGACCAACAGGATTTTGTATAATTTGCCCATTATCTAAACTCGACTTATTCCGTTCTGTCAACATTATCAGCGTTAATGATGCGCCTATAATGCCCGACTGTGAACTACCCATTTCATACTACTCATACGACGTTTTCATTATCGTTGAAGTTCGCTGCTCCTCAACGGTTTGAACTTCGGCAAATCGCCCACATATATAGAGAGAGAGAGAGAGAAAAAAGGATACAGTGTTTCTTCAGTAGCCGAGGCAGACGCCGTCTTAGCCGCAGCCATACAAGGTCCAAAAGCAGAAGGTACGATGAGGCGCTGCACGCGCGCACCGTCTGTTCCACCGTTCTGCCCTCCCTTAAGACTCCCGAACTCCGATCGACTCCGCCATTGGTCTCTCTTTCTTTTTCATTCTTTTTGTCGATTTTCTTCGACAGCTACAAGTCTCGAGGACGAGTTCTCCGGTGGCCGGCACGAGCCGGCACGCGCCAATGAAGGGGCCCGCTCCACCGCCATTGCCTATACGGGCCAGACGCGTCTGTTCCAGCAGCGCAGCTGGCTTATGCCTGTCTTCTCTTTAGGAGATCCTATATCCGTCTGTCCGCCGTCTTTTCTAGTGGCACTACTGCTGTTGGTGTACAGCGGCTGGCCTTATATCTCGAAGAAGGGTGGCGGGAGTTGGACTATCGCCACCGCCAACATCGCCATTGCCATCGACCGGCTGGCATCAGATCTTCACTGTTCTTCTTTCAGATGGGGCATTATGCGTCAAACAAGAAGTAGGCATGCACGCACAATACTAGCTCTTATACTCAATGGTCGGTTTCGTCCTCGTCTGCAGCCTATCCGTGTCGTTGAACTACTGCAGTAGCAAGGGAACATCAACGGCGGCACTGGCATCAACAGCAGTAGTCAAAGCAAGCGAAACAACTGGCTCCCTTGCTAGGCACATTCAGCACTGGGCTATATCAAAGGGCGGTAGGGTATATCTTGGGGGTCGCGCAGGCTGTCCGTGCGAGCCAACCGATGGTCGTTCTGTCCGTCCATTCGTCCACCAGCCTGCTGGTGCATCGTCCCCTCCACACTCATTCTTCGCTCCTGGACTTCTCTCCTTTTTTCTTATTCGCTTCTACCTCCCTTTTTTCTACCCAGAGTACCAGCCACGGCAATACGCTGGTGTACGCATAGTACACTAGGGGGTTGCTGCCACAAGCTGATCCTTTCCTTTTCTCCTAGTCGTCACAAGATGATGGCGCATGCTGCCTGCCTGCACTTCGATGGGCTAACTGTTTAACCTAGCTGGTCTTTCTAACACTGGTTTCTCTTTGCTCGCCTCTGCCGGTTGCTTGAGGTATCCTAGTGTCTTTCTCCCCCCACCGCCCCTGGTTCTCTTCTCCCGCTCCTTCGCTATGGCAAGACAGCGTGTGTCTCTCTGTTTTCGTGTATGTATCTGCCCGTCTGTCCCCTCTCTTTTTCTCTCTGGAGCTCTCTGATCGGTCGCGTGCACCTCTTCCTCGTTTGGTTCCTCATTGCCGATGCTGGCGACTAGCTCTCCTTCTCTTCCTAGTCTAGCAAACCAACGGCGATGGCAGCAGCAATCACACAGACTCAAGCGCACACACAGACACCCATACACGCACGACCATATAGATAGATAGACACACAGACATGCAGAGGGACGGTGTCATATAGGGACAAACAGCCAGAGGAGGACTGTCAGATGCTCAGGCCTGATCGCCTCTCGTTACTACTACTACTACTGCCAGTGGTGCGGCTACGGTCATAGAGCCTAGTGGTCGCCTGTTCGCGATACGTTGTTGGGCTTGAGCTGTCCTATCGGGCCGTTGTTGTCGTTGTCGCTGCTGCTGTTGTTGTTGTTGGAGGCGGCAGCGGTTCTCTGTCGCTCGCCGCCAATGTGTGTGCACGGTCCTGTGGGCCTGTGCCGTCGCCGCTGCCTCCGATGGTGCCGTTGAGGAGTCATGTGGTGAGCACATCTGCCACGCGCCAACCAGCGCGCTCTTCGACTATCGGGGGCCACCTCTCTCCCTCGACAGATGCGCGATTGATATATAAACGACCGGCTCTACCTGAGTCGGGTACCAGTCTCATGTTGACGAGCATCGATCGAGGAACTCCTTTTAGGCGGACAGTCAGATTAGGTGAACTGCAACTAACGCTATAGAACTCGATTCACTTAAACAAGAAGCGGATTCAAATCGCAAACGAAATCAATGCAAGTTTTACAGATAGTGAGCTGGCAGCAGTGCTGATTATGCGTCAGTGATCTTCAATAAACGTTTGTTCCTAATGTGCAACTATTGACATTCTACAGAGACGTCATGTCTACGGTGCCAGTGAATCGCGTGCCACGCAGCGAGCCCAGCTCGCCTGTCATGGATTACTCGAAGGATTACTTTGTGGAACCCATGTTGCCAAGGTAAATATTGTCAAGTCCAATTGGTCATTTACAAACGTGTAACCTCGAATTGAAGCAAGGAGATGGAATACTTGCCGTTCTTGTCTCAGCTGGTGCGTGTTTCTTGTATTTATAAACTAACAGAGCGCTTGTTCTTTTCTGCCCTTTCTACTGTAGGCTTCAGCGCAGACTCAGCGCAACGAAGAAGTGCCGTACCTGCCACAAGATTGTGTACTTCACCGGTATCCGCTGCAAACACTGCGGGTATATCGCTCATGAGACGTGTGCAGATGCCGCACCTCACGTTTGCACCGGTGGCGAACTCCTGCGTCGTCGTCGGTGCCACCAAACCGCGTTCCCGTTCACGCCGGAGGCCATTTCAGCCGCTGCGGCCACGTGTAGCACGGGCTCTGCTTCCGCCCCTGCGTCGCCCAAGAGTCCAAAATCACCCATATCGCCTACAGAGTTTCTGAAGACGGCTTTTTCATGGATGAAAGGCACAAAGAAGTCATCTGCCCCAGTCACTGCTTCTATGCCCGCCAGCCCATCGACCCCGGCCAAGAAAGCTGTCGCCGAGCTTACAGAAGATCGTAGCGCGACTTGGTCTTCGCCCGAGCGCGTGTTGTCTTCTGTACCAGAGCAAGCATCGGCTATCGCTAACGAGGACTCCGACAACGCCGTGTCTGAATGGTGCATCCCGGCTAAGGATCTGCAGTTCGAGCAGCGCCTGCGACACGGGCGAGAGAACGACATTTACGAGGGCCGTTGGCACGGGGCCGTCTCCATTTACACGTTCAAGCGATCGCAAGAACTCTGGTCTCAAGTGAATCGTCTCATGCAAGTTCGTCATGAGAACTGCTCGCTGTTTATGGGAGCCTGTATCGAGCGTAACAACTTGGCGATCGTCACTTCACCACGAAACGGTCCCCAGGTTTCGGAGGCCAAATCGCAGCTCAATGTCGACGAGAAGCTTTCCGTAGCACGTCAGGTCGCCCAAGGAATGGGTTACCTCCACGCCAAGGGTATTGTGCATGGAAAGCTGAACACAAGCAATGTACTACTAGAAAAGCGCCGTGCTAAAATCTGCCTATTGGATCAAAGTTTTGGCGAAGTTGACAAGGTCCGTGAAGGCTATGGATGCCTGCTCAAAGACACGGTGGCATTTTGGGCTCCTGAATTAGTGAAGAAGATTCACATTAACGGAGCTAAGGTCTCCGTACGTCATCCGTTTACCCGTGCGGCAGATGTATATGCTTTTGGAAGCTTCTTATTTGAGCTGTTCACTGGTCAGCAACCGTTCGAAGGAGAGTCGATCGAGGCAACGCTGTATAAAATTGGCAACGGGCTCACGGCCGATTTTAAGAGCCACTCCGAGATTCCTCGTCCTATCCGTGATCTCATCGTAAAATGTTGGTCGGTTGTGCCTCAAGATAGACCTACATTCAAGCATATTTTGTCCTTTCTTGAGGAGAACAAACTCGCCTGCTCAGCACTTCACAGACGACATAGCTCTTCTACGCCTAATCGCCTTGACCGCATTGGGCTTGGCCTTGTCCGCTAACTACGAGTGCAGTGAACACATTTCGAACTTCTCTTGCCGCGCATAAGCAGTGGCAGTCCTAAGGGTGCCAAAACGCTTTCATCGCCACCTCCACCGATGCCGACCATTCCGAACCCGAGTGTCTAGTCATTCTATTGTATTCTTTACCATTGTTTACTGTCGTTGATTAATATACCTCTGTTGTTCACTGTACTTTATCAATGTTGACGATGGATTCATCATGTTGAGAGATTCTCATTTTTACCTGAAACGAAAACACGTAAATGCTGTCAATGAAGCCCCAACACTCCGAGGAAAAAAAAACAAACCACAAGGTGAAAAATCAAAGAAGGTGTGACCTAGTCATTTTGCGCACAACTTACCAAGTACCAACTAAGTTAAAAGAAGCGAGAAGGAAATAAACAGGATTCCGATTCACATCAAATTCAAATGTGTCTTTGACCTACCCGTTTAGCTAGCAGTTTAAATGTTAAAGCTTTAACGTTTAAGTAAAAAGAGTTACTTGTCGAACCAGTTTTAGCAGACGAGAAAGACCGGTATAACCAGTTAGTCTGGCGACACGCCTCTACCAGTTACTATTTAGATAAATATATATACACTAAGAGGCTAACCAGCTTTCGTTCAGCTGGATTTTTGCGACGAACGTTACTGGACCTCGCTCGAAATCATCGAACTGACTGGTTGACCCGTTACCCTGTTCAGGTTACTGTCGTACAACAACTTCATGCATAAACTTTTCTAAATTTTGCCAGATCAAGCTAGCTATGTGTGTATAGCATGGGGTAGAATAGTGGAGGCCGATGGCATACGCGTCCTTGCTGGGATCAGCTGGTCAGCGCTTCGAAGCCCAGGCTCTGACGAAAACTAGCTCGACCGACGGCGGCTAGCATGAGCCACCCACGCGAGTACAAGGTAGAGGCCGATATAGAACTCAGCGAGCTAAATCTACTGTGCCCTCGAGTCGTAAGCACCCTTGCGTTTCGAGTTTTGAACTTCGAGTCGCTTTACCGCCAGCCGAACGAGGAGCAGGGTGATCAGGGGTTTCGCGGGGAGCCAGTAGCGACGCCCGCAGGGCGGTGGCACCACTACTGCGTGTAAACCTTGGACCGTTATGACTCACAACCACCTGGTTCTAGAGACATGGTCGGACAGACAACGAGCAGAGCAGGGCGACTCGTCGCGCTGCTAGTTCGGTACCATCGGCACTACCGCTTCAGGCTTCTACTTGCCAGTCACTGAGCAGCCGATCGACCCGAGGCTTGAGCTTAAACCTGAGTTTGGCATGGCCCGACCCGATTCGATCCTATAGCTTATGCCCAGGTAGACGACCCCCTTGGGTAGAGTATATCTCCTGTGCTAGCCAGAATGACTCCTCTCGGAGGGTTGGCATCCCACCTCGCATCTCATCCATATAGATGCGTGTCTGTAAGTTGCGTGTACCGTCTAGTTCAGCAATCTCTCCGCAGCGTCAGACAGATAGAGGGGAGTTAGTGGAGAAAGACTAACTGCCAGCCTTCGCTTTATCTAGGACGACTTCGAAGAGGCGACGATGAATTGGAGGGGACGCTCAAAGGGCTCCAGGGGAGCTTAACTCAGCTTCGGTAGCTGCATAAACCTAAGCAACAGAAGGAGCTTGGATGAATCGCAAAGGAGCAGACCCTGGACACGCTTTGGATGTTGGTCATAGCTGATTCCAGGGGATCGAGCAAGCCTTGCGAATTAGGTAGGTTGGCCGACTGCTAAGGGGGCTTCAGCCGTAGTAGTCACGACCCAATGGCCATGTGATCTATGTTGCCCATAAATCAGGTGTTAAATACGTTGGATTTATATGCATGCAACTAAAACATATTGATGGTGGACAATTTGTAAAGGCTATTGATATATGGAAATAAATATCATATGGACAGGTAACAGGAAAGGAGTGTATGCAGACATGACGCAGTGCGCATTTGATTAGATTTCGTAGTAGAATTTTCTCTACAAGTTGGTAGCCAAAGTAATGATGAACTTCACGAGATTGGCCCAGTTCCTTATAACGCTGGCGTGCTTTTCCGCTTAGCATGTTCGGCCACAGATCGTATATTGTTATTATGGGAAATTGATTAGCGCTGGAAACCAACAGAGTAGTAGATGTTTTTAATAATAGAGAAAATAAAGGTAAATAATTTAGTACGTGCTTTCTCATCGAAGATATTTAGAGCACGTTTACGACAGTTCGATTGCCAACCGACGGGCAGCGACCATAGTGTCCACGAAACATGTTTATTACGTGAAACGGCAACCACGGAAAATTTTAGCTGCATTACCCCTAGATAATGCTTTAGATGGCAAATACTTCTTAGCACCAGTTTGTTGATCTAGAACAATTGATGGAGGAAACGGAATAATAAATTGGGCTTAGTTTCAAGAAAACCGAGCTTATTCCTATCAGCTACAATGTTTGGATATCCTGTTCAAAGAGCTGGTCGTGTCTTGGACAATAATCAGGACAAGAACAGAAAGTATTATTCGAAATTATTCTCCACTGTTGTCATATTAAATAATAATACGTATTATTGTTATCATCATCATCGCCGGTCTTTCAATTAAGTCTATGCACAAGCAGCATTGTTCGTTAAGCTGGATGCCTAAGGTCGCACAATCTAGGTGTAGACCTATTTGTGCATTTGGAAAAGGGACAACTTACAACAGCCTGTTATCAGTTATTCTATAGAAAATGAAAAGTTACAATTGTGCTCAGATTTTGTGGAGGTAGAAGCGCTGCTTCCGAGAGACTGATCACTGCTCAACGAGAGGAAATTGTCTACTCTCTATTTGGTCAAGATGGTTTCCTTTAACAAATGCACACTTAGTACGGTTAAACAGGCAGCTATGCCTATTTTATTATTGATTCGGTGTCATTGAAATGCTGTTTTCGATTTTTTGTCTTTAAAATATATTTTAGATAATGTGTTTTTAGTTATTATCATTTCTATGGAGTGTTATAAGAAATTTTGTTTTTTCTTTCGTTGGAGAACCGTACTTTTGCTGAGACCCATAAATAGTAGCTGCGCAATGCAGTATCTATTATTAAGTATAAACATATTGGTTTGTCATATTCAGTAAATGAATCTTCACAATTTATCTCCTAACGATTTGTGATTTTTGTTTGCCAAGGCACTCGTTTGACCCACGTTCTAGGGACAAATCTGACGATTTCCAGCCATAATTATTGACACTATTAAAGTTACCTCGATAGTAATGATAAACGTCCTGTTTTCAGTATCTACGGTACAGTAACTATCTAACATATGACATATGTCCGATACTTCTTGACGCAACGGTTCACTGTTACCAGTGAATTCGGCGGATGTTGAAATTTAATTGCTTTTGAACTCGTTGGGCTAAACGGACGATGTTTTAACGTATACTTGCCCCAGTTCTTGGGAGTTTCTGGATTGCCACGTACGTTCCCATATGTAGTTTTTCTATCGATGGCTTCTCGAAGCAGCCTGATAGTAAAACATGTTTGCTCGCCAGTTGCTTTTAGGGACATAGAAAACTCCTTAATTGGACCGGAGAAGCAAGACGAAGCCAATATTGCATATTTCTTCGCTCAGCTCAAGGAGTAATTAAGGCAATGAGGTCGTAGCCTGGTCATCAAATGGCCAAATTGCATGCTTTCGATTGCCGTGCCAGCGTTCCACGAGCCTTCTGAACAATTCTTTTTCGACAAGCGGACTCTACTCATTATTGGATTTTTGGCTGACGCTTATTTTGTAGCAGTAGATGCCTAGATGCCAGCTGTAAGTCCTATCTTTGCCTTCTGTCCGAACCTACTCTCGACGGTTGCCGAACTCAATTTCACTTTAGAACAACGCCATCTTCTCCTTTGATTCCTGGCAATAGACGCCTCGTCTCCTATAGCGACCACGTGCTCCGGATTGCTATTGCACGTAGAATACACTGCACGCATGTTCCATTGGGCTGGAGTCAATGCACGGGATACCTGTTTCGTATTTAGTTTCCGCACTTGCAGTGTTTGGGTTATACTTCTGTAAAATGTTACATGCCGAACCATTGATCTCGACGTTCTGCATTTGTGAAAAGTTTCTTCGATTGCAGCAATGCATTGATTGATCTCTTAAGTGTGCGGTCCTTCTTGCTAATCCTCAACGCTTTAATATTCATCCTTGTCATGTCTGCCCCGTTCACGTACTGTGCTTTCACTTTCACTCCTCCTCAAAGCCTCCCTTCCCGTTCTATGTCTTCACAAGTCTCTAAACGCATTATATAAGCATTTTTATAGCTAAATTTCGTGTGCTAATGGCACGTAGTCCTAAAGTTACTCAACTTTAACGTAAGCCAAAATTCGCTTGTAACTGCCTAATACTGCAGATTTAGGGACCACGCAAAATCATGATGCACACAGCCTACGCGTTCTCATTCCAGTAACTTGCAGTTATTTAGTTCCGTTTCATCAATGTACTGCCGAAACGATTAATTGTTCCGTGTGATTTCACGTAACGGTGTCGACGTTTTCCGCATCTTCTGCAAAAGCGTTCAGCAGTGGAAACAATAAAGGAGATCCTGTTTTATGGTTCGGATGCATGTGCTGAGGATTGCGTTTCTCCAAATATTGATACTAATACTTCTTCTAGCCTTAACAACAAACGTTTTTGCTTGCATTACGAACGAATTTATTTAATAACCATAATTAGCTAACTAGATCATTTCTATAAACGTGAATGAGTAGAAGCTACCGCGGTATGAGCACATTCTGCGGTCGGCTGCATTTACATGAAGCCATTTGTTATTACTAGTTATAATTAACAGCCTTTTTTCAGTTGTCACACAGTACTAGGTCACCCAACGAAACCTTGAATACCAGATCATTAGAGGAATTGAAATCCACTATGTAATTCATCTAGTCCTATAAGGAGAAAAACATACCAGCACGAATTGTTGCGTTTAAAGTTCGACGTCCACCTAAAAGGTTGTATCCTTGGCATTACCTCGATGATCCTTCTAATCCTATTTAGCTGATTCACATCGTCCCAAATCACTATATCTATAAATATCTTGTGCGGACAGCTTGATAATGACGGTTTACGCATATTTACGTAACGCTGACTTAATTTATAGATTGACGAACGAATAAACACTTGTGTAAAGCGTTTGCCACGTATCACTAAATCATCGTCTAAATCATCAATACCATCAGTCTCATACCGTAATACTAACACTGTTTGCTTATATTCACATATCAATGCGTATGACAAATACGGCCGATATAACAAGGACGTAATTAAACACATCTTTAAATCATAAATCGTTCATATTTTAAACAACGTGTTGAAACAAACGTCCATATTTATCACTTCAACATAACAACTTAAGCTGGTCACTTGCTGAAGTATCGTTCTTTCTTACCCCCTAGGAAAATTCTGAGAGAGCATATGTTCAACATGTGATTCCCGCTTAAGGAATAATAGCGCGTGCCGCCTTCGTATGGACGTGTGCGCGACCTGTGGCCGTCATAGGGAAACGGTAAGAGCCTAAAGGCGGGATCTCTTAACAGGCCTAATTGTGTTGATGTAAACGTATCCGAGAACATGGACGAAAAGCGGTGCGTAATAGTACTTGATCTATAAACACCACTAAAAACACGGTGTGGCCCCTCTCGTTTAGAAGAGGCAGCATATAACAAGCTTGCTAATGACATTAGAGATGTAGATGCTGTTATAATCGATCCGACAAAAAAAATACTCTGCTTTTTATGGAGCGGCTTATCTCTTTCTGTTAACAACTGCATATTAGAAGAAACTACGAGGTCTAGCTAACTTTGATTCAATGTTTTTTTGCCTATTGTTCATTGCACGTCGATTGATAGAGTCTGCCTAGAGGTTTAAGTGCTGTATTTCAAACGCAACACCAAATTGATGGTAACTTACCACTTCTATGCCTTAATACGTGTCATATTCTCCACTTGTGCTAGCCCAGGTATATATGGCTTTCACTGTAGATTGCCGGCCTGATAGGATCGATTGAAGAGTGTCGACGACCTGTTTTCAATCTAAACTCCCGAGAGTTCTTGAATTTAATGTGTGAACTACTGCACATTGATTGGTACATGTGGCTTTTAAGCGGGTGTAGGAGCCTTCTTGGATTTGTACGCCAACACCGCTTCGATTTCAATGAGGCTATTTCGCACTTACTTACGACTCCGCGTGTTGTCCTGCTCGTCATATGTCAGCAACATAAACTACAGGTAACGTTTTGGGTGTTCATGAAGAAGCTGGGTTTCTACCCTTTGGTCTTTGCCTGGTCCTATAGCGTCATAAATTTTTGCTTCGAATCAGGTCTAACGATGTCGTATGTGCGAATAGATGATACCGAAATATTTGCAGTTCAAGCTGTCATAAATGTCAGTTTGGCCATGGATTTCGAACTGTATGATCGGAACAAGCCTCTGTCCAACGATTCTTGTGGGATACACTGCTCAAAAGTATGTAGTAATCTGCAGGCATTGCGTACAGGAGATAACGAAGCCTGAAATAATGGAAGGCCCACGATTGACAATGCGCTGTCGCCTATTGGACGCATCGTTCCATCTAATGTCATTACTGAACAATATTCTCATTCAGGGAATACCGACGAAGGAAGTGACGGGGCCATCAACAAACAACACGTTCATTCTTGTCGCTCTCGTTGACTGCATGATTATATACTATCACCTTGTACCCCCAAGAAATGATCGCCTCTTCTATATGGTGGCACGAATCGGCGTGTGGATCTTCGACGTGTTGCATCACGCGATCCTCTTTCCTATTGACGCATTTCGGGTAACAAGCGTGGCGATCCGACGACCTCCCGGTTGGGAGCCCCTATTGGCACAGAGCATATGCACGCTTTGGTTGCACTCGGTTATGTGTGGCCATTATGCCGAACATGTCGCTGTACTCGTGGCCAGTTTAGCTGATATTCCTAATAGAAGAGCGCACGGAGCTGGGGACTACTGATCGTCGTAAAACTGGAAATATGGCAGTGTAGCTGAAGTTGTTGAAACACAAATAATTGTGTTTGAATGAAGACATGACGAAGCTAGCAAAACATTGCGTTGCCTAAGTCCATTTTGAAAATCGTTTATTTTATTCGCAGATAATCCATGTACGCGTGCGTAACCAGTAGTAACACTGCTATTAAGCGGTGCAAGTCGATGGTAAACAATTCGACCACATGACCAGTTTAGTAACAGACGAATCAGATTTATTATTTCAGCGCTGCAATTTAAATAAATGAGAGGTTGGTGAGCGCATCAGAAGCCGTTTCAGTATACGAGAGTACTAAGAAGCGGGTGGCGGGGAGGTATAGTCTTTGCGATTAGAATACGATCTTGTTTACGTTCAAGGTGCAACTCTTGTTGGCTAGTAGTTATTGGCTGAAGGAAAATGTTTATTGATCCGTATTCCATCAATGCTAAAACAATCAACCGTCGAAGTCGTTTTCCCATTTATTTAATGAGCTTTAGCCGAGATGTACTGCAGTGTAAACAGATAGTTCGTTCCCGGAAGTACAAAAACTACAGAATAGTTGTGGTGAAATTAACCGACTTCCGAATATATGCATTTCAAGGAGCCGCGTGACAAACCGAAACGCACCGAAAACCCGCAAGGCAGTAGCTGCGATTGCCGCTTAAGGGGTCAACTGCAAAATGTAGGCAGACCCGAATACTAGCGAACACAGAATCGAACGTAACATTTTGAAATGCTAACGTACACATAATTATCCATTGTGACAACATCTCCTGACCCTGTGACACTGTCTGCTATACAATGGGATGTTTGCTTCATATAGTTGACGCAGGGTTCCGACCTCGAGAGGCAGGCAGGAGACAGCCGTATAGAGCGACGCATTACGGCTTAAGTGACGACCGTAGAACCCGTAACACACACAGACTGAATTTAGCTATCGTCCTCGGGATCAACAGTAATATCAGCTCTCAGCTCAGTAAAGAGTACCGTGTCAGACAATTAGGACTGCTAATACTGGGGATACCTGTTCACAGAAAGTATCTTTGACAAGCGTCGACGCGAGAACTACAGCAGAGGAGGTACGAGTCTGTGCTTTAGAGAGACCAGCAAATTGGGAGTCTCAACAAGTATAAGCCTTGGGAAGTTGTCATCGATCTAGGTTTTTGTTTGAGAGAAACTGTTCACTATTCACATTTTCCATAGACATCTATTTAATGTAATAGCTAAAAATGTAGAACGGCAAATAAATGAGAGCAAGCACAGATCGAGTGGATCCAGTGTGGCGTTTCTGTTAAAAGCCATTTAATCGCTCGAATTTCTCTAGGGCTTATCAAGCTCGCAATAGGAAGATTCATCCTAAAAATATCTAAAGAATACACACCATAATAATACTGTCGACTCATAGACACATTCAGCCGGATATGCAGAACATCCATTGACTGAGGTTTACAATGAAACAATTTAACCATGACCTCAGCAAAAATTGCCCTTGAAAACATTTGTTAAATCATCTTCACATACTATTTTTAGCAGGAGAGTTAGACCACCTAGATCGTTTAGCTGTCAAGTTGATTCAGTGGATAGTTTTGTTCCATTTGAGGGATGTTCTTTAGGGATTTTATTGTGCCGACGCAGCAAGTCTACTACCGAAAATCGAAGGGTGCATTTTTTCTAGGATCGACAAGAAGGCAGGAACACGAGCGTGTACCTAAGTGATAACAGCAGATTGTTCTTCTAAAGTAAGGGGATATAAATGCTGTTCTGATACTATAAACACTGATCAGGCGCGCGTTTCACACTTGGGGTTGCGACCCCTTTGTCCTGCATTCATGAACGGACGTCCGATGAGAAATAGATCATAATCGTCTGTTAACAAACAATTATTTCAATTATTTACTGTAAAATAACAGTGAAATTCGTCTAACGTCAAGAAAAGCACAGAATACTGCATGTATATACACAGTTTTAATTTATTGATCGGTCTTCCCTAACTATAGATATGTACAAACATAATAAACTCGACGAATCTGATCATTTTAATGTGTATTCATTGAAACTAAGACTAAAATTCGTTGGTGGCGTACCGTTGCGCAGATTTACTTGCTTAAAATCTCGTTATGTTGAGTATGGCGATCTAGCAAAGTAGACTGGCACGTAACCACTGGAATGAGACAACAAAATACGATGTATACGACATGATTGACTGCTCTCACGGGAAATAACAAAGGGATGAAAATTCACCACCTCTGAACGCGGTCCCTATTCCATTGATAGACGTTTACGTAAATCGTTATGTGTGTCATCATACCTCAGCAAGAGACAGTTTAATAGAACCGTTTTGAAGCGGGTCCTTCTTCTCGAACGCTCCTGTAAATGAGTGTTCAGTAATGCTAGTAATGAAAACTCCACACTGATTTTGCAATCATGATATCTTTACAGGCGGTAATAATTTTTCCCCGACTACATAAAGAATATGTTTTGCCGTATGAAAGAACCCACTAATATGAATCGATAGTACATTGCGTCATCTATAGAAAATATTGGTGTTCAAACCTAGAGACTCTCACCAAACGCGGCAGCTAAGTGTAGAACACAAGCAACGAAGTCCCCGAACCTAAGGGTTCCGTCCTTTCGCATAAAGCGAAGAACTAACAGGGAAAGTACGTCCGAGTTGAGCTTAAAACCTGAAGGTCAGTTCCACAAAAGCACCTTGTTACTTCAATAAGTTGTTAGTCTTTTACGCAGAACTAGAATGACTAGCAAGCTGAAACGAATATATGTATATATATATATATATATGCCGAACTGTAATTTCCATTAATATATTAGTAAAGTTAACGGGCAAGCGGATTTCTAGATGGCGACAAAAAATGTTCCGCTAACAAAACAAGTTTGACTTCATTCAGCTAACCAATATCTTCGAGGGCCTCTTTGAGCCGGTCGGCTCGCAATACTCCGACGGTGCCTTTTGTATAGGCCTTGAAGACGTTCTGCCACCACTTTAATGAGCAAATAAAATGTTTGTAATCTTGGTATTTTAAACGGCCGAGCCCACTGTTATCCATAGCAAGCACTACCTGCCGACAAACTTCCATCGTCGCACAGCTTTTCACGTAATCTGAAAATCCCAAATCGGTATCACTATATGGTAACAACAAGAAGTTCTGAGAACGAATAGATTATTTGCTATCGTTGATTATTTATTGATAGAATTTAGTATTAATGATTTTGGTAATTACCTATAATAGTAGATATAGGCCGACACTTACCGTTTGGTAAGCAAGTCTCCAGGATTTCCTGCAGATCAAATGCATTAACGCATTTGTGTTCGTCAGCCATTTGCAGGAACACCTGCTCGTAGGTGGCTAACGAGGTCTCCAGTTGAGGCTGGACCTTTTTAAATGGCGACCGGGTACAACTGACGGAGTATTCGATGCATCTGTACGTGATGGGTACAAAAATCGTCAAAAAAAGAGTAGGGATAATTCTTTGACGGAAGTCACCGAGATGGCTGTGCATACTTGTGAATATTATGAAATGAAGCATACGATCAAGCAAACAGATAGTCGAAGATCTTGCCACCAGTGACAAAAACGCATACTTGAGTTTTGTTGGTTTCTCTGAGAACACCCGAAGTGTAAAAAGAGCTTCTTCACCGGGCTCGAACGTTGTCGGTATCACGACATAATGGCCTTGTTCCAGGGGGCATCGAACGCACACCTGCAGGTTCCCACAAGGAACGTCTATTCGGTATCTATTTTACTGTCTGCTATGAAACGATAGAGCCCAATTGTTGCTATCAGCAGGGCGCCCGATCAAACGTTTTGGTTCTGATGTTTATTACTTGGCTAGGAGGCATTTGTTACCTAGGTCCATCGCCCTGGTTTGTTCTTTTTCGAAAAATCAAATTCGCATACAAAATGTCAAAGATCAAACATGTAGAGTCAGGCTTGTGCGAAACGAATATACTACGTTTACTTATCAGTCTGTTCTTGTCTGTGTTGTCATTCGACAAACTCCGTATCTGCAAATTATTACCTGTTTGTAGTTGGAGTAATGAGAGCTCAGCAATGATTTAACTTCTTTAAAGTAGGTCTTAGTTAGAGGCTCTTGGATCGACTTTTGGCACTGATAAACGGTGAACCCAATTACCTGCAAGAATGAACTGTTCACGTTGTTTTTGACTGAGCTCTAAATTTACGGTTATTTATAACTGAAATGCGTTCTGTAACTTTGAATTTCTCAGTGCGAAACTTGAATGAGTAAATCTGGCCAAAAAAATGCTCGTAATGTATGAACAGAAATCTACGACCCTTTCCTAGCTTCTTCGACAAACTGTTTTCATATCTTTCGTTAAGACGATGCTTTCTTTGTAAGCAGAGAACTTAACGGAAGATAGATAGTGTTTTCTATCCAAATTAGTCTTATCCAAAAAGCTACACGTTCGGCCTGACCTTTGGCTCAATAACAGCATCTTGACACAATGATATAACAACGCTTTCGCCCTCCTGGACCGACAGCGCCATCTGGGGATTCATGTGAAAGGTATCTGTATTGTTCCGACAGCCTCCACTACTCACTCCTCGTTGCCATCGTTCTTTAGCTAACTTGACCTGCAACGCGGTGGAAACAAACATTTGCGAAAATTATCATGCGAACTTAATCGATATATTTGGTAAAGGAAAAATATTATTTACTGTACCCGCCGTGAAAATTTGTATCGTCTACGAATATGGTCGACGGTTATAGTTGTAGAAAAAAAACTGAACACATACCTGCCAAGGTGTCCTGCCTTTAAGTGAAGGTTCGTCGCGGGATGTCTCCGCATCAAGGTGTACAACCTCAAACGTCGTAAACGTTGAAGAGACTTCAGCAAAAGTCATGAAGAACTCTCCCTCGGCTAATGCTCGCGCTCCTAAAGCCCTCTGCTGATCATCCCGATTTAACCGGTCAAATTCGGTGCAATCCTTTACGTGGGCCGTTGCAATCGGCGCTCGGAGCCTCACAAGACGCAGTTGATCCCCGCGCGAAGTAACCATCTCGCAGAAATGTGAGATACGGTAGTTGACACCAACGACGATCCCGTTAGGTAACCGTTCACTAGGAGCGAATCTGCTGCTCGCATTTGTCTATAAGTAAACAATATATATATATATATATATATATATATTTATCATGAAACGAGTCGGTTAGCCGCGTATCGCAGCTTCTCCGTCGACTAATTCTGCACCATAAATCACAGATGGGGTCGCACCCGCTCACAATATACTAACCCCATTCGCTGTACCATTATTAGTCACACCACTCGAGTTGATGTTGCAATTGTTGCTACTATTGAAATTATTGTTGCCGGCCGCTGGCGGTACAACGAGGGCAGTGACGATGCTCGTCCGTGTCAGAAGGTAATTTAGTGTTGATGGCTGTTCAATGCTCAGTCCTTCCGTGACTCCGCCCGTTAGATCGGAAAGGCCATCCATTGAATTGCCGTATTTCAGTGCTTCGTACGAGCCGTACATCCTGCAAATGCCGTTGTACAAAACAGTGACAAATGCGATGCACTGTTGAATTATTACGGCTACATCTTTAGGCATTTTATAGACTAGTTATTGGCGCGTTTTCATCAAAAACGCGGGCGGGATTCGATGCGCCTGATTTTTTAGCTCCATTAGGCCTTGAAGTGATCTTGCACATCAACAAAAAAAAGTAGTTCGTCTTTTAGATATGTGCAGTATTCGGGCATATGGTGCAAGATACTGTCGTAACTTAAGCAGATTTTCTAGCGTGTGACCAGAGAAGAATAACCGGCATGCACTTAACGTTCCATCTACTGTTAATCACCTTGATCTTCGGTATAGGTCTTCATTATCAGCTTGCCCATGTCAATTCCACTCTCAATTTATTCGTTCTCTTTCCGTTTATAGAACGGCTAGGATAGATTTTAAAGTTAATTACTACAACACAATGGCAATAAATTATTCGATATCTGTAACTAAGTAGATTGAAAGTATAAGTGAAATGGTCTTTATATAGGAACATTCATATATTCGAATATGTAGCTTAAGTGGTGATCTGCTGAAAAATTAATCCACATGTATTTCCTGGCAGATGCTAAATATGCGCTCCCTTAGTGAACAGCTCGGTGTCATGAGTGGGAGCCTTTGCTGCTGCTGATGATGGTAAGGTCTCGTCAACATTATTAATATTTACACCTATTGAAGTTATTGCTTCGTCCCAAATTCGAATTACTCTTACAAGTATTTCCATGATTCTTCTAGAGGCTTTTTGTTTATTTCCGCCGTTGTGTTGATATCCTTTCAGCATGTTGTACCTAATTTGATAATAACAGTGACCGGGAATGACTACATGATAGCGCTGACAGCGTTGCGGGTCCGTTGCCACTCGTCGTGGGCTTGCCCTTCAGGACGGGTTCCTCTCCGATGGTGTTTGAAGCACCTCCCATCTAGGACATAGGAAATAAACATAGGCAATCTGTGTCGTGTCTACACATCCATTGCTTCCTGAAGATTTCCTGCGCCATGGCTTCACTTGCGCGAAGCTGTCGGGCGTTCATTAGCCAATGGATTGGTGTTTTGTACAGCGAAATGTATTCACAGCTCTGTCGGTATCTCCCCTTTCCTGACTCTGCTGCGACTAGAGACGCCCATCGTAACCGGTAGAATTTGAGCGATTTTTAACTTATTGAATTATGTTCAATATCGATGACGCATCTTCAAAGCAGACCAGCAAACTGCCAGGCGAACATCGCGAGAAACTTATCGCAAACACTTCACAATTGTACATTTTCTTCGACTTTTTTTTTCTTTATTTTTCTGGCCTGCGTCCAGCAGTAACAAGGATGTAGGCGATTGTGACAATCGTAAGAGCATTTTAAACAAATGAGCGCTTAGCGGTAATCAAAAAACGATTTATTACTGTTGTCGAAAACATAAAATTACATATAATGTACCAATTTTTCAATGATTCGTTAGGATACGTTGCATATACGTTACAGGTGACTAGTGAAAAGAAGAAAACAAGAGACTGACACTGAAAAATTCGTGGTCTTAATGGGCGAGTGTGACATATTGTCATCGTCGACATGGAAATTACCTGGTAACAAAGAAGTTTCTGTTGAATGAAGGAGGAGATTCATCTACAGAGACCTACGCACATACTTCTGGAGAGAAAATTGAACAATAGTTCGGTCCTGTATTTGCAAAGCCTGAATACAGTAGGCCCATAGGATGCACAGGGACATCGAAAACATGGTGAAAGTAATATATGCGCTATATATAAACGTATAAATTAGAAATATAATCATACGTATTAAAATAATATACGATTTATCTAGTTTAGCATATAGGTTGAATTTTACGCGAATAGGTAGATACTTTGGTGCTTAGATAATGTTAGTCACTTCATAGCAATCTAATTGGAGCACATACGGGTAACGTTTGCTAGTAACCTATTTTCATTTGATAGGACACTAACTTGGCATAAGCCTTTTCAAGCAAGGCTGGCCAAAAGTGGTTTGCTGAGTGTGGCCCATTGCAGTGAATGAAGACCAGTTTTCCGTTAAAAGTGGGCAGCCGGTCATCGATGAGGACCTCCTTCCAATCGCCTGCCCACCAAACCCGAAAACGGAACAAGCCGCAATATTCGTCTTCAAGTGAAAAGCCTTGATCGGCGGGAACAACTCGATAGAATAACGCCCTAGAAAACATTTCATCTATTAGATTATCTATTTGTTCTTGTTATTTCACTTGTTTGAATTATCACCATAATCAGTTTTAATAAAAGAAAACTGGGAAATGTTTATAAAAGACCGTATTTATATTCACGCTCAACAATGCTTTTCTGTGACGGTTCGATACGTCGCACACGAGTGCATTAGGGCTAGCTCGACTAGAGTTTTTGGACAAAAATTAAGCGCTACTCAGTATAATGTCAATACCGCCTGCAAACAATTCACAGTGCGGGTGACCATGTTTGATGTTACCAAGTGCGCTGCCAAGACGCAAAGTGGGTATACAAACCTGCATGTTGCCAAGGTGCCCAGACACGATACCAGCCATTTATCACCGAGTTTTCCAGGAGTTAATTCGAACAACGAAGGTCCATCTACTACAAATTCAGGATTGGCACAAATTTCCTAAAAGCGGAAATTAACAACAGAAAATCAAGTCATTCTATTATAAAGGACACTATAACAATCCCATTTGAGAATGAATTGCCCACAGCATATTATCTAGTTTATACATAGGTATTTATTTATATATGTCGAGAATAATTCGTTACGGAAATGCTTAACAACGTGCTCCGCCTGTTCTGCCCCTCCGATACAAGGTCTTTACGAGTACTGATCATGAGAGGGGTATGCTATGAACTGACAGATATAAAAGTCAAACAGTTATCGGATCTGGCCGGCCTTGCCGATCCGACGGTATTCGCTTTCTATAAGAATTTTCGTATTTCGACGGCCGATTTCACCTCATTCATAGAACTGAAGCATCGCATCATAGCATGTGCGGAGCGCTGCAACAATGGGAACGGCGGATAAACATGCCCGTAACTGTTAAAGATAACATACGCGGCATAGTAGGTAAGCATCGGTCGACATCACGTAAATATCTACGTATACGTATATATGTCTATCGTACCGGGTATCTGACGAGTTCGTCTAAAATTGGCCATGCCATATCATTGCGGAAAAGAGTCCGCAAAATTCGGATTCGGGATGTAAGGGTTCTGGCTGTTATTGTTGATTATACTACTTTAAGGGTCATGTCTTGGTTCACTGTTTGATGATATAGAAGAGATACGGCATTGCGATGGAGGAGACATTCGTATCACGGCCAATAGTGAACATAAATCATCGATAGATGTCCTAGGTCTTCTGCGATCTACAGTAAACTTTACTTATATAATTGACAGGATGTTGTTACATCAGCAGGTTGAACACTTGAGATGATGATGTTGATCGTGTAGCAAAATTGAATTTCGCTAAATGCAAAAATAGCATTTGCACATTATGTAGCCGCTACTACAGATGTGGTCGAATGAAACAAATATTTAAATGAAAGGTAAAATACTAATCTGCTCAAAAATATATTGAGCTTCATTGAAATGCAATTCAATCAAAATTTTAACACAATGGCTGTGACACATTAAAGAGCTATCCAATGGAAAGCCGTGTCGGTCTGAAGTAATGCTTAAGAGAGAAATACTGTTTAGCGGCTTCGGCGGAAATCAATCCTACCGTCAGGGTCGATACTCACGTTCAGGTTACTTGAAGTAGGCTGAGCCCTTGTAGTGTCCGCATCCTAAAAAAGTTCGTCAGTATAATCGATTACGGTAGAAACGTCCCGGCTCTAATGTGTCTTTACTCATTATTCTAAATTTTATATATAGTTTAGCTATAGACCTATATAGTTTAGCTTATGATTTAATATTGCCTACGTGGGGACGCTTCCAGACGAACTGGAACGGCGGAGTTTGATGATAGAAAACAGTGGACTGTACGGCGGGAAACTCCGGGTCCTCGTACAGACAGCCCCTCTCGAGGCTTTTTCGCACGCGCTCGAAATCCGACATGAAGACCGTCGGCCTTTCCTGGCCGTTCCGGAGAGTATTTTGGACGTCCTGGCGGCGATTTACGTTACGGTGGCTACCCGCAACAGGTGAGACAGACCGAATTTGTACCACCGAAGCGCGGATTGTGCCTGTTCGGCTCTGTAACCGAGAGACAGATAAAAAGAAGTCGAGGATGCTTACGATGATCGGTAAGTACCAGTGACGTCATATGAAGGCACTACCTCACATCGATTGTATTGCATAGCTGTACGTGCGTAACGTTCATCACGGCTGATTTTGATTCTTAAAAGACTATTACAACAAAAAAATATATATATATGTATACCAGAAGTTCTATTTTCTCCTAAGCTAAGCAGCCATGTCTCTTGAAAAGGTTCGAAGGTGACATTTTTCTAAAGTTAAATTAAGCCGATGAGTTTGAATCAGACTACATAGTAGCGGTAGGGTCATATTGACCGGGTGCTAATTTTTCTGAGCTAGTTACGATTAAGAAAATGCATGTAAAGCGGATAGAAATATATTTAGTCATTTTATTTCCATTGTTGCCTTTAAGAACAGAAGATAGTAACCAACTCGTGTCGTTTCACTGTTGTGAAACTGTTCTTTTTTACAATCAATAAATCTTTTGTTTATCTAATTTTATAATAGAAATAATCATCTCGTCATCATGATTTTATCCGCCTGTTCCGCAAGAATTACTGCGTAATTATATTACTGTTGGATAAATATGTTTAGTTACGTTTTTCGAAGAAGATATTTAGTAAAACGTGAACTAAATATCTCATTGTTTGTGAAACAATTGAAAATTCAGGAAATAACTAGCGGCTTACCGGCTATAAATTGACCTATTATGCGAATAGGAGAAAACGAATATCTCTGATAAGCGATTCTAAAAACAGGACCTCTCATACGATGAGCGTCTGCCGTTGCGGCCTTGTTTGACGGTATCGCTCGTGACGATAGCTAGAAATACAAGTAGAAGAAGGACAACACTGTGGCTACGAAAGAGTACTACCAAATTAAAGGATTTAACCTTATTAGAATGATGACATCTATATACATATATATTTATTTCATGCAACAAATAATTTCATATGAAATTGTTTATCCTCTGCTAACCCATATAATGGGTTAGCCAATATTTCCTGGTTGGGTCCATATAAAAAAACTGCTCCCAATACACGATTTCTACGTTTTTTCATAAACCAATCACTGTTTACCTTTATAAGTAATCCAGCAACTGGTGCGTCTGCTCGAAATAGAATACGCGACGCGTTGTCTACAATGGTAATACTACAGCAGGGCTTTTGTTAAAAACATAGTGAAAAAAAAAAAAAAAAATCGCTTAAAACTGTGCACACACGCCCACATGCTAAATACGAACGAAAACGTTTAACCGCCGTCAACACTAAACGCGTGACGGAAAGGCAGCATCGTGAAGCATTCCGTAGCGTAACGTAATGATAGCAAGGTTTCACTATGGATAGCCACCTGTGTTTGCGACCGCTGGCACGTCCTTCTCGAAGAGGACATTGTATCTATGTCTACGGCTGCCGCCGTCGCCAAGGGCCTATACCTCTACCTAGTTGCTGGTTTGATCTATAATAGCAATACGGGCTTAGCACTCTTTGCCAACGCGCGATACGCTTGGATCTCTGCTTTTTTTGCCTGGAAAATTGCTAGTCTTTTTCATTTTCTTGTGTGACAATAGGATTTACTGCAGCCTTATTCCTTTTTCTTTCTGTTGCTTTACCACTTAGACTTTCGTCGTCGCTTGCTGTTCCAGTAATTCCTTCTGACACGAGCACCACTTCCAGATATAATCGATCAAACGTCGTTCGCTACTGCTAGCAAATCACCTTGACTCGGCACACTTCATTGTTACTAAGAGAGACTGAGTTGGTTTCCATTGAAGTCGCAATTGCCCCTGCTGCTTCGCCTGACGATGACAATGGAAACAATGATAATGCCAAAAAGCTAGTGGATATCGCACCATATGGTGCTTCTCGCATTGCTGCTGCAGGTTATGCGTACATATGTGTGATGCATTACACACGTAGATAACGCTACGATTTAATGAGGCAGCAAATGACGTTTTGAAGACGATCTTGAATGTGGGTCTGATTGAGGACCAAACCGCTTAAACGGTAGAAGCATGTTAAGGTCCGCTTCTGCCATATCTCAGTTAGTCACAATGGTTGGCAATAGCAGAGGTCGCACCATTATTTCTAGAGAAATGTACGCTTTTCGTGAAATTCTCAGCTTATTGTCTAAAGCTAAACTCAGATTATAGTATGTTTGATCGATGACTCGTCGGCCCGATGAGTACAATCAGCGTTTTTGCAAGGGGTATTTTAGCATCTGGTAGGGCAGCGCGTCGATACATTTTAAGATTGACGAAACACCGAACACAGCAGATCACATTATGTTGTTTCATGTTTACATTAGACCAGCAACAGTCGCGTATGAGCATCCACTCCATGCCTAAACTGTTAGGTTCTACTAGCAGGTCACCTATTTGTGCGATACAATCTCAAGTAATCCTCCGTCACTGTGAACTGTAACAAGCATACTCTTCTATGCACCTCAGCTCGCTTACTGAGTGCCAGATCGACTTTAACGTTATTGGCTTCACTTTTATTGACGTGTCTTTCCAAATGTCCGGCCGCCAAATTCGTGCACATTTATTTATATATTGCCACTTTGGCTACACACACTTTGGCGTCAGTTTCGCCTCCCAGCTGTGTCAAGTCGTCAGAACCGCAATAGGAATGATCGATACATCTCAGTTTAGCCCTGCGCGACTGATCTGGTTGTCATCCGAACGGAAAAATGATGGCAGTCCACGCAATCAGCGACGTATTGTCATATGGCCAACTACTTGCCGACGGTCTCGTAAGCTGACAACAGCTAGAGGACCGCTCGCGGCTTCGTGCCCTCCCAAAGACACTCGTCACAAAAAACTCTGTCACTTTTCAACTGTAGTTATAGATTTTGTAGATATCAACTTTATAACGGCCTGTAACGGATAGGACAACGGAGCCTGCTTTAGTCCACTGGGCTTTGCGTGAAGGCCCTTTAAAGGAACAGCGGCCTGGATCCAGCAGCGCCTTGGAGAAGGTAAACATATCAGCATACGACCGTCAGTGATCGCATCGTGTTTGTGTGGTTAAGATAGGATGTAGAGATGGCCATGATTTAGTCAGCGGTCGTAGCAGACCAGTGTGTGATGATCCGTAGATCTATCATTTGCGTTTACAGATGCTGTGACCGTAACTGCAACGGTTTGTTAGTTGTTCCTTCGAGTGTGCCTTTATTTATGGACCATCCGGAACAGATCTAAGCAGTCTATAGCAGAGGCTGCTAAAGCAACCAGGTAGTATGATATGTATACAAGTAATAGGCTGCTTCAATGTCAGAAAGTTTCTATTCATTGACGAAACATCTTTTCACAAATAGCGGTTGATCCGACGTGAAAAAACTACGTTCATATGCATGAATTAGATGAATTGCTATATTTTTTAATTATAGAAATATTTACACGCGTCCGTAAGTCATCGTATGGTGGCGCTACAGTTTACAATAATCGAAAAGGCTCACATTTGCTCCGAAGAGCTCTTTATGAGGCATGCAGATACGAGAAGTTCACCTTCAGCTAATCAGTTCAGGCAAAGCAAAAATGCCGAGAACGCAGAAAGATCACGCAGACGCACTGATGTGCATTTCTGCGGTACGTATCAAGCATCAAGTAAACAAAAAGAAAAAAGACGCATACATTACCTGTACCGAATGTGGCGTCGTGTGAAGCCGCAGAGAAATGAGGTGTTTGATTTTGTTAAGCCGAAAGTCAGTCGTCTACAAGATAACAATGTAAATATTTAGGGCTAGACGCTTTTGTAGTATCACGCACGTATCGTGATGGAAAGCCGGACCGCGGCGATGGCAGTGACCCGTAAAGCAGCCTCAAGCAACCAAAAACAATAATGGAAACCGCATTCACTTTTCTTGTTCGCCGACATTCTGTTACCTATGTTTTATGATACAGTTACGATTTTTACTTTACCTATCAGCTAGAGCCGCGTCACCTTCTGCACTGATTTGACGTGAGTCACGTCCTGTAATAGTACATATGACGACAGGTAGCCCGTTTTCCATCTACAGGCTTTTATTTCGTGATTATTACGCCCCTTATTTCCTGTTACTGCTGTAATAATATTGATATTAATTTGGCCATATCTTGCTTTACGCCGTTAGTAGCTTAATTTGGACATAGTCAAAGTCAATTGTCCCAAGCGGATAGAGGCCGGCGTTGTGGCTACTAGGTGTGTGCATAGGTATTGGCTAGAAGATTGGGCCACAGTAAGGGACAGGTAGGCCAGCTCTTCAACTCTCCTTGAAGCTTTTACTGATTAATAATACGCAATAAACAATTTCACTATTTACAATTTTTAAAAATGTTATTATTATACATAGTATACGATTGATTGCGTGTCTTCTACGGGATCAGTTAGAGACAGGTCAACTGACCGAAGCAATGTGACGACAGGCAGACGCACTCTGCGGTCAGCGCCTATCCCAAATGATATTTTAGTTTTTTTAGTCTCTATTTATATCATTTGTTATTGATGATTTTAATGCTATCCCTCTATTAAATGCTATAGAAAAAGAATTTCCCAATTCTCTCAAAAGCTCATTGAATAGATCGGTCCGCCCTGTGCCACTCACTTCTATTCCTTCGTGATGCAACTAATTTGGTGTGTTTTTTTTTGTTCAAAAATTAGCAAGGATAAATATCGACTTTTGTTTTCGAGAAGCGTTTTAGGTAGCGCTGAAATTATTAGAAACATGCTAAAATTAGCAGTCGGATTATTGTACTAGTTAGGTCTATAGATTTTCCTATTCTTCCTAAGGACGGTACTTTTCGGATCAAAAAAATTTTTTCCTTCTTAGTTACACTGAGTGAGTTATATCACCCGAAACGCACTCCGAAATTGAATTTCGGAGAAGGTATTCGCACTAGACTCGAGTTTGGCGGTCTTCCCACTGTATCTTTTTGAACATCTTCCCCTAACTCACAATTAATGATCTTTTAGCAAACCTGAACCAACTGCTGATTTAGCTTTGCGGATGCCAGTTCCTACTGCTATTGCAAACCTGTCTGAGTTGGACCACCGTCTCTTTGCCATCCGATCGCACCATATCCGATGGTTTAGGTACGAAAAGAGTCGCTAGAAACAAGTCTCTTTTACTCTTAGTCACCGTAAGCTCAATGTCACTTTGTAGTATCCGTTTACGTCATACCACTCACAATACCACCTGAACCTCAAGCCACATTAACAACTTGATTGATGTTTTTACTGCTATTTCAGTCAATATTTTAAGTGATCTATACACGCCATTGAAGTTTCGTTAGAGCAGCTGAAGCGTGCTTCAATTTTGGCAACCGGGAAGTGAAAGTTTTTCCGCCGCAACTTACCCAGTTTTACGAAATGAAATGCCTCAAATTTTTTACGCGGTTGAACTGCCCTAATCAAATATTGTTGCTTCAGCTAGCTGGCTCTTTCCAGAAAAACACGAACCATGTGCCTGTTTAGGCCCGCTTTCAAATCACTTGTATCACCTCGTGTTAGCAAGCAAACAGGTACGAACTACACCATCACAGGAACCTTATCGGTTTTGTTAGACCATCAATAGCGTAGATAACTGTACGTACAGATATACACTTGTTAAAGTCTCTATCTATCTCAAATGTCTATATAATAATGCAGAAAAATTATGCCACCGTACGCACGGATCAACTATTCGCGCTGTCGCCATGGACGCGGTCTGCTGCTAGCCTGCGTCCCCTATTGCATACTACAATGCAACACGTGTACAACTGAAACTGTGTTACACTATAGTCCCGCGCTTTGTGAAGATGGCCGGCGCGACTCCCGCGTGCTTATTTGCGTGAAGTCGGTTAGTGCCGAGACGGCGGCTGCCGCTGGAGGCAGCGGCGGCCAACATGTTCTCGTCTCTTACTTCATGCCGTCGTAGAACGGTTTTGGGGCTACGACGTTTTCCTTGCCGAACGCTCAGCGTCACGCATTGCCGCCAGTGATGATAGTGACGGTAGCCAATGTACAATAGCTGCTTTAGCCGTTTGGTGTTTTCATTATGTGAATTGCCACTTTGTTGTTATTGTTGTTTGTAATGTCGTCGTCGGATCCTTCTCCTAGCAATAGCAACAGTTGTAGCTCGCGGGTTATGGACACCCAACAGCAAAAGCACATGGCCGGCTATCGGATTCCATACGTCTCTAGGACAACGTAGCTGGCTGACATTACAAAAAATCGCGGGAAAACCAAAGTCTACATGGCTCATCGCTTCCCTGAAGCGACAGAGTATGGGGTCGCGGCGGTCGCGTCTCCGGCTGTTAGTGATACTCCGGCTGATATTACGGCCTTTGTCAAGAGCAAATATGCAAACATGACGCACGCTTCGTTTGTGTACGTGTGTGTACGTTTGCATGACAGCAATGCTTCATCGGTGTAGTGGTAGATTGTCGCCAACGCGTCCTGTCCGGCTATGGCGATCGGTCGTGTAGCATGTGCATGTACAGTGCACAGAGGTTTATGGATGGACGGAAAAAAAGCGATTTGCCAGTTGAATTTCTGCGCCCTTTTCTGTTGTTAGTTGTCGTCGGTTATCGCACCACTGCCAGGGTGGCAAACCCTATTACAGGTGGATCGTGCCCGCCTGTGCTTACCGGCTTCTCAAACTCCTATCGGACAGAAAATGTTGTTTTTTTATTTGACTGTACTATCGAGTAAACGGACGTAACCGCTACTAGAAATACCGGCAATAATAATTATAGCCTTGATCACTTCTTAATCTCTAAGTCTGATCCGTCGTTTTCTCTAGCTAAGTTACACCTATCGTATAACCTAGTTAACCTCAAGTTAATGGTCGCTTTGTCATCAGATGGCGTAACAGTATTATCTACTGCCATAGCTTGTTTAAAACTTGAAAAAATTTAATAGATTTATGTCGAGCAGCGTGATGTGGCGATATATACACGATATACATACACGAAATGAAATGTCAATACCAAGGCGAGGAGTTTTGGGAAAAATAAGCAGCTAGTGGATAGGCGGAAGGAGTCCATGGCCTATGGGATGAACGGCATTAATAGCATAGTTGTGGCAGACCTACTGACGGAAACATGCTATTCCATGAATATAATAAATGAAAAAAGTAAACGAGAGTGATTGCCGATTATTGGCGGTCCGTATTGAACTCAGGTAGCAAAATATTTTTACATAGGCGATAGAAATTAAGATGACCCTTAGTTCTAGGTTGACAGTCTTTAAAGCGTTGGTTGATTGATACATATATATGGTGAAACATAATCGATTTCGATAGGCGAACCGCTATTGAATAGCAGAAAGGCGTTACGTATCTACAAAATTTATGAAAATTGTGTTGACACATTGAGAAACGCCAGAGCTGGACAATGAAAGATAACTGAACAACACTTTTGTCCAATGGCACATACTGAACCCATTCTATGATCGGAGTTATTCTATTCCACAATTTCCTGAATTGATAAGATTACGATTTTCAGGCCGTGGAGGTCATTTGCGAAGGACCTTGTTTAGGATGACAGTATAGTATGCGTACATCCCCCAGATTTTACTTACCAGATCCAGATTTGAGCATCGGTAACGACCGAAAATATACGCAAATAAACAATAAGGAACAGATCGTAAATCCTCCTTTCGTACATATAGAAAAACTACTATGCACTGCTAAATATAGTTCCAACGATAGCACAATTCTAAGGGTTTTACCCGTCTCATTGGTCGGAGAAGTCCCTGTCGAGAATCAAGATCTTATCATTGTATTTATTACAATATTAGATCTTTGGTCCCGTTCTACTCACCATTGATTATACGCAAATCGGCAGCCTCGACAAGGGTTCAGAAACAGAAAGTGGTTGAGGCAAAAATAACGGATAGCAACATTTATACTGGATCGGAAGCGGTCATTTTAAGAAAATGCAGCTTTTTCCAAACAAATTTACACCATTCATCTACAGCTGTTCATCTTTACGAGCTCTATTACCCTCATCACCCGCAGCGCATACAGTTCACATAAAATATACATCAAATGTGTTTATTTCCCAGGCTCGACCTGCTAGTTCATTGCCTGTTCTAACAGGCATACAAGTATAAACAAATAGTCATCATTTCACACCACCGATATCCTTGCACTTGCATTACCCACTTTAACATGTGTAAATGTCTCTGTTAGATGGCGCAAGCAGGTCCAGGCCGCCAAGCGTTTACTACCTCCTTATCTTCTACGATTCGACAACGGAAAAAGCCCCTGCCGTCGACTAACACCAAATTATTCCTACGACAACGCATCGATGCCCCAGCAGCTCGTTCAACCGGAAGCGAGCTATCAACAGCCCAACGTAGATCTAATCAGCAAAACGCACAACCATTTGTGGGATCATCGAACATCTAAGTGTATCGTTCCGGCCCTTCAATGTCTGCGATTTTTACAAATTAATTGCTACCGATTTTAATAGGAATAGTTATTACCATTGTTATTGTTATCGCTGCTGTTTGTGTTTACATATTTGGTGAAAAAATAAATGTAGTTGTTATTATTCAAAAGCAGAACACGTAATATCACGGCGACAGCTGAAGCCACTTCAAGCGTTTGCATGAACGGGGACGATGAGGAGATATCTCTGAACGCGAAATTATTTGAATGCATTAATACAGTGATAGAGATATCATAAATAGGCCTCTAGTTGTCACAGGGGATGCCGCTGATAGGTTACTACCGTTTCGTTGCCTACCTCCCGGGTCCGAGAATTCATAGTTAGTACCTTCTCGATCGCAAAATGACATTTTAACTATTTAACGTAATCGTGCCTGACATCCCAGAAGTAGATGTTTCCCTCGAATAGCCATGATCTAGCTTTAATACGGTCAATGGTTCATTAATGAGGGTTCGAATCGGATAGGGTAATAATCGGATTCTACGAAAGTATGTGAGTCATATAGTCTCTGACTTATATCGCTCCAAAAATCTATGCTTGTACAGCTTACCATACTAGTATAATATAGGGTCTCTGTTACTTATGTACTTTGATTTGAGATATCTAGTCTGCAGTATGACTAAGATGTTAAGCACTCATCATCGACCAGAGAATTGTGTACTATGTGCATGAACGTTTATAATCATTCATCGAGTTCCTATATCATCATCGAGTTAGTCGAGAATGGTACGGGTCTTCCATCACTCATTACAACCGAAGTCTTCCCCAGTGTGTCGCGTTTCGTCTAAACGTGACACTCGTATTAAGCTTTTCCATACACGTTCGACACGAAGCATTCGTGTTTCTCTCTAGGCGGTATGACTTTTCACTTACTACTAGCATCTAGTAAAATAGGTAGGTTGGGCAATTGAAAGCGGACAGGTAACTTGAAGCCAGTTACCCTTCAATTGAAAACATATTAGATGGAAAATGTTCTCGTGCTTAAGCAACTCCCGCCGTTCTTCTAAATCTGATGACAGTCGTATGAAGGCATCTTTGAAGAAAGACTGTTGAAAATATGGGCTAGGCCACGCAGTTGTGGTAAACAACATGAAGTCGCATCGGCCTATGCAAAACGTTGGGCTTGAGTGTTTCATGGCCTTTTTTAAGCCGACAAAGAATTGCGGCTCAACGCTTCGCTCGGTATTGGCCGTCATGCGACCACAATAACAACTTTTTTTGCACAGAATTCACCAATAACGGGAACTTCAGTCGAAAGGCCAAAGCTTAGAGCCCAAGTAGATCTCTATCGAAAAAAAGAAGGTTATGCTGAGTTTGATTCACTGGGAACTGTTTCATACGAGCCAGACAATTGATCGCCACGTTTGTTTGTTTCAGTTATATCGAGTTAAGTAGGACGGACATTCAAGAGGAACGCGACAGACAAGCTCAAGCCCTTCTGCTCCGTGACGACGCGAGAGACGCTTACTTCGAATAGGAGGATTGGCTGCATCTTACATATTCTTCGAATATTGAGCCGGTGGATTTTCAACTTTATCATTCACAGCCAAATCACTGTCGCGGCCTTCTTCAACATGTATCAACAACGCAAAATGTAGTTGGAGGAAACCTTCGTGACGAGACACGTTAGTTTTTGGCGAAACGCTATACATTATTCAGTGCTAAGGCGGGAGAAAGTTTTGAATGAATAACGTATGGGGTATTTTGCATTCGGTACAAACCCGTCGGTGGCACTTCACCACAACGTATGCCAGTAATATAGAGCTATAGGCCATCAGCTAATCTTTTGCTGGATTCGAGAATTTCCAAAAAAAAAATTATCAATTTATAATCTACTTGTCGTTGGTTCATTTAACAGATGGTGGCACTTGGCTACAAAATCAGCTTTAGTTAGTAATGATACTTTGTTTTATTTAACTGTGTTTATTTATCGACAGACTTCTATCAGTGAGCTTCCTATACAGGGCAAAATTGCCTAAATCGTTCTTATCTTTAGTTTTTTTCTATGCGCTAATCCGATTCCTTTTTTGGAAGGGATGTTGCATTAACAAATTGATATATAGCATTTGGATAGAGACTTCCTATGATTCTACATCTTGACCCACTGTCATTGATGTGCTGATTCCTGGAACTAATGTACAAATTTAACGATCCACGAGTGCACACAAAGGCTCAATTTGGTTTTGCCCTGTTCCTAATATGGCCTATTCAAGTTATACTGCTTTGTTCAAAGGTTTGGTAGCTTCGAACGCGTTTCGTCCACTTGTAAGGGTTTACATTGAACAGATGCTAGTTTTAGATCCTGCTTTGAAGCGGTCACGTGTACTTAAGTTCAATGGACAAACACATTATGGTTGCACTATCACGAGGAATTTTCGTCTGTGCCGTTACTGTTGACTTGAACTCAAAGTCCAGAAATACTAAACTGTGTTCAATTATCTTGTAACTCTGATATAAGATAATGATGTGTTTAAAAACCTGCCACTTGCGATTCTTAGTAATATAATCCTAATTGTATAATCCACAGATGGATCGATCCTGCGATAACTTAGACTGAAGATTTTTGCTCACGTCAACACCGTAATACGTCCGTTGAGTAAGCGATTTTGATCGTGTTGCGTGCGTGTTAGTGAAAGGGAAGAGCCGTTCTCGTGACACAGTGATATCCAACCATTTATGTTTATTAGATGGTTTTAAATCATTGAGCGGACGTACTCTACTAATGTCTATCTGTATAAAATGTATCCGACAAAGGAAGATCGCAAATTTAGCCAGCAATTTTCATAAACTTCACTAGAGTTTGGATATGTTCGATGGATATTTATGTATAGCGCTAGAGTACCCTGCAATTTGTTTTATAGGTAATTTTATGTCATCGTCTTTACAGATCATTAACGTTTATCATGTCACTGTGTGAATGAGAGCGTTAGCCGATTTGAGTTTCAGCTCATTTCGTATCGAAATCAATTCTATCAAACGACTGCTCGCCGTAGCGTCGATGCGTCTAAGTACGAAGCTTAGGTCGATCCTGAAATCGGTGAACCTGGCTGTCTATCGATTTGTAAGCACGAACGGCTCGGTCTGATTTCGAGTTGTTCAGAGCCAGCGTACTCAACAATCTACTTGATTCAATGTTTAAAATAATGCTACGTAGCTGTATTTTATCGTTTTGTTAGACGAAGTAGATCTTTTTATTGATGACACTTCGTTTCCGCGGAAATTATCGCTAAACACAACTCGATTCGGAGCTCAGCAGGGCACACTGGCCCTTGGCACCTTCTCACGAAGATAGTTTCCTGCCATAAACTGCAGGTTTATAGAACGTGTTGCCTCCTCTTTATTTATATCGAGTGTTTAACAACATGTTGTTGTTAAACCCATTATCGTATGCCAACGAGCATGATGATTCTGCCGTAGGTTGGGATCCAATGCACAGGACCTGAACGAGAGAAGGATGCTTATAACTATGTGGTCATCACTGAGACAGTCACTGCACGAGGACATCAAAAAAATTCGGGAAGGTCGTGTTAAGATGCTATTCGTGCATTTCAGGCTTGTTTAATGAGTACAAATCAAGGCGCACTATTGATGGCATCCTTCTCGAGCCCATCTATTTACATACCGGATAAGGCAAGATAATATGGACATTCTGAAAAACGCATCTCCCCCCAACTGAGTAGTCTTCATTTCACATATGTTAAGGCGGCGGAAGGTACGCAACTTGTTGCTGTACGAAGCTGTAGTTCTTTTATCCCATCTCCATATTCCCTTAATGCTATTTTATACGCACACTATAGGATATTTTGACATTAATCAATGGACCATTTGAATCCCGATGGCGGCCGTCGTCGTTGTTGTGGCTGATCCTTTTCAGACATATATTAACTCTATGGCGATATAACATTGTATCATAGAAATAACATTACATTACTTGCGTTACAAATGAATTGCTCGCTTCCGTTTGTAGGAATCATTAACGTGTCTCGCACCACGTCAACGGATGCGACGTCAACATTTTTCTATTACCGGTTTTTGGAATCGCCCGGATACTTTTGTCTCACCGTGTATATATTAGTGTGGGCATTAAAGTACAGGATTTGTATGGAACGTAAAAGGCTTTTAAACAATTCACAAAAATGTCAGTAGAAACACAACGACGTAATTTGAAAGCTAATTCGATCACCGATGATTCTCTTGTTGATTTCATCTCTGCCAACGTTCAAGTCGTATATTTGTTAGCTTAAATCGGTGGTACCTAAACGAAATCTTTATGCGTTTGTTTGTGTGTATCAACAAAGCAACCATGACAAAGGTTGCTTTTTTGGTTTGGCACAACGGTGAAGGATCTAAGAGGAAGGGAAAGGATAGAACGGAATCTTTCGTTGCCCGATCTGATGCTGCCTTAATTTCGGGTGTGCAGGGTCTCTGCTAGTATTCCAGTTTTGTGCGCTTACAGAAGTATGTCTATTGTTGTTCAGTCCCTATGTTTATCTATTTAGACAAACGGACAATATGGCAAAGTATAACAGTCGCAACGACTGAGCATCGTTGACTGTGTAGGTTTTCTAACGACTGAATGTTAGTTACTTAGTATAATCATAGAAAAAGGAAAAAAGACATTCTTCAAAGGGTAATCTTATGAACTAGTTAGTGACGTTAAGGATCTTTCACAAAAAGTCCATTGATTTGAAAGAAGACTTGATACAGGGCCGTCGATCGAGCCCTAGCATAGTCGTGTACGAGAAATTTCGACAAAAAACACAGTTGTTATGTGTAGTCTATATGAATCTATAAATTAGACTAATTTATAGCAACAAATAATTGAATTTTATATAATATTATTTGGTGGTAGCGGTACCCCAAAAGAATCTATTACTATTATTTACGTTTCGATCACAGTGAAACGTTCGCTAAGTTTATATATGGAACTTCAGTTTTTATGATTTGGAAGAAATCATACATCATTTTATACCGTAATTGTTGTTTTAAATTATTTTATAATGAATAAATAAATTGTAGAGGATTACGGTAATCATGTGGACGACGGGGCCCGGCAATCACTCCGGGCAAGACGCTTATCAAGTGTGCATACCTCATACGTGCATGAGTAAAATAATTATGAAATCACCACCGGTACCGCCATGACGGCCATATTACCACATGCATAACGCATAGTTACGAGAAACGCCACATTACCATGCACACGTGTGCATGGTACGTACACGTATACGGAACGCAAATGTCCGCACGCCGGAACGCACTTCCGCTGCGAACAAAATCGATCTATTTTTTATTTCGGTGCTTGCTATATATGTAGGCTGTGAGCGCTTGGTTTTCCATTGTCGTTTGTGTATGCCACTAATTCTATCGGTTCCTACAACGACAGACATTTCGCAATCTTTGAACTCGCAGTTATTTATCATCGGAACGAGTCATCTTAATTACATTTTTTCCTCAGTTCTGCTTTGGACGTGTTCTTTCGGTATGCTGTATCGATGTAAAGAGGTGTAGCTAATCAGTAAGATTTAAAAAATCGACAGACCGTCATTAATAGGAAACGGCGGAGGCGAGCACCGCGTCGATGCTGAGCGGTGACCAGATTAAGTACCTTCAGTCTGAAACATATGCCTTTGATTACATTGCTTTTTCAGTGCCAGATTATCCGTACAGGCATTTGGATAACAACGCGATCGACGTAGTACGGCGCGCTCAATTGTCCGGCCACTTATTTCGTGCGACCGAGGGTTTGCGCCAACGTTTTGGCACCATTGGCCGCGGCAATACGTTATACAGGAAACTGCCAGCGGTGGCGAAGTCAGCACCGACGAAAAACATTTTCGGGGTTATTATTCCGAAGGGCTCCGATTCTGGCAATATCAAAAGGATCGCGTTTACCGCCTGCTTCTGATCAGACGAAAAAGAATCGGGGAGAGAGGGAAACGGAAGAAAGCTCAAAGGAAAGGCTCCAACAGCAACCGGCATTAGCAATTGCTGCGGCCTTATCAACAAGAATAACAATGAGAACCATATTAACAGCAAGGGGTTGTTGTAAAAGATCCATTGGAGGCAAATGCGTATGGACCGGAAGGAATCGTAGAGCACCCCCTATCTAAGTATCCTTCTCGTGGCTGTACTATCGAGGACCCTCGTCGACGAAATGCTGATGTTCTCCTCTTTCGGTTGGAAAAATATCACCGGCACAAAACCAAGGAAATATGCAAACGGAGCGAAATTGCCGTTGGCTTGCTATTAAGTGTCGAATGCCTAATTCTATCGAAGGTATTAAGAGCAACGGCTAGTAGCGTCAAAGTAGGGGCCATAAATATTTATAGACGAGAATGCACGAAAAGGAATCGGGTCCGGTGACAAGTCCTGCGACGAACGCAATGAAGACGACGTACTACTGCGATAAGAAGGCAAAAATTACAGGGGGTCACGGGTTTTACGAATTTTTTTTTCGTTACGTTCCTCGCAGCTGTCTTGGTGCTCCTATTTTTATCACCGCATCGCTATACTGTCATTATTAAAGATTGTGAATATCGTCCTTTTATACAGACATTTATTCAAATAGATTAGGTCGACGATTTGAAATACTATTATTTTGTGTTTGTAGCATATTTGTTGAAACATGGCACCTTGCCCTGCCCTAAATTATAATGTTCTCAAACATATGTTAGCGTCAAACGCACCTGCGGCCAGATAATGCTACGGCCCTCTCTTTGGGGCCAGTACAAATAACAAAAAAACGAGGCGAAGTTTTTATTCGTACCGCTCGACTCTATTACGTATTGATATTATCATATTAGGTCTGATAGTGAACCCATTCTGTCCAATGGTACCGCTGCTACAGTACCTATCTTACAATTAACAAGCATTTACAAGTATTAACATAAAAGTTATCTCTGTATTTTGTTGTTAGCGAACTTGATTGATAATAATATGTTGGCTGTTCAATTTAATAAATGATACACACATTTCAACCGGGATTTGGTAGCCAGGTAAGGCTTAACTAATTTACTTATTTTTAGTGCCTTGACATAAGATTAGTTAGCCGACTAGCTCGGTAAGATTTAACCGTTTATAGGCTATTTGAAATGAGCTCCCACCAAAGACAGGACATGCTGCAAATTGCAAAAGGATTACTTATGAAAGACTTCGGCCCTTCTAACAAAGAACATGGCGATATTCTTCAAAAAAGCAGTTCTTTAGAAAAGCTAAATTCGAGTCGGCGACGTCAGGCAATTGGTCCTATGCGCTGTTAACAATTTACAAATGAAGGCCAGGCCGTAAAAATAATAAACGAATGAGCGCTTGCGTTAAGATATGGTTGTTTTTTACGACATTTCAGACTATGACCAAAAACATTAAGATTAATGTTTTTGAAAAATTTCACGAATTATTAGTATAAACAAGTTTTTATTCACCATCAGTGTCTTCAGAATGGTACTCGTATTTGTTTCACTCGATATATTTTGTTCGATTGCAAGATATTATAACCATTTATCAGCACCGATAGCTCCACGCTCGCGACAAATCGCCTTACTTGTGTCGCATAATATGAATCTACCGTTCACCTTGATTCATTTATAAAACCTTGCAATATCAGCCATCATTATCTAGATTCTTTCATGTACATATGTAGAAAGTTTTTAATAGTCACGCTTCTACCATATACTCCATGCAAACACAGTTTGTTTACTTACCGGGTGATGCGCTTCAGATGACGTACTTCCTTCCAGAAAATTGCGCTATGAGCGATCCCTGATTGGCGGGAACCACACGAGTTCCCTCTAATTAAGCAGTGTCGTCCGCTAGCTATTATTAGGCCAATAAAACTAGCCAGCTGTATTAGCTTCCATCAGAGAATACGTGGTGGCACCGTCCACTTCAGTTGTTTTGTTCTCGTGGGTTTGTCCTTTGCTCGAACACAATTTGAGATAGGTCGGCGATAAGTGAACTAGATAAATGGTACGCACTCATAAATTCTACTAATCATGATAAACCATACGTCATAATCGAACTGCGACCGGCTGTTCTACGAATGTGTGAGGCTCGTTAACGGCCGACTTATTGCCACAAGCTGCTTCTCGAATTGATCAATTGCTCGTCACTATTTAACACGAACGGGAGTGCTGGTCCGAACAGCTTCGGGCCCACTTTGCATACTTCCTGGTCCTGCAGTCTGTACAATCTTGAGCCGACTGATGCTATCGTGCTTCATGCAGTGCTCACTTCAGAGAACAGCATTAAGGTTAAAACCAGTTTTTAATAAATGCGGCAGTGGTTGCTCTCACCCCACTGTTTTTGATAAAATGCGGTCCTTTTAGAGGGATTAGCTACAGAGTAGATCAGGTAAATGTTTTCTTCTAAATCTTTAGTAAATTCCTTTACGTTCAATTGCGTGACAGTCGATATCGACGTCGTTTCCGGTTCCTCCGGATTCCTTGGTAGATTCTTAGCTGATTTACTGCAGGCCTTCTTCTGGAGAGTTTAACCAAAATGAAACACCTATAGCGATTCCGTACTGGCTGAACAGCGGCAGTTGTCGCAAATGCCTATTATATATCTGGGTTCGACCCCAACTGCTTTCTACTGAGCCAATGAGCTAGCAAAGCTAACACAGAAACCCCAAGCTGATATGACCTGCGAATCGCACGCTTAAAATTGTGTTCGCTACAACCCATAAGTGAGTGGCCGGTCGACGTGCGCGTTAGTTTTAACCGCTATGACAAACGCAATGCCTGCTGGACTACAACAAGGCAGGTGTAAACATTCAAAATCGCTTTTTCTCGGCGGGTAGAAGCAACTTTATTATAGCAGACGAATACTTGGTTCCACTATAGTTAACCACAATAGAAAGTTTGAGTGCTTGAGAAATCCCCGATACTGCTAATGCTGCTGCTGCTGCTGCGATGGCAGCATCTGAAGCGCCGCACAAACCTGTCAGAAGCTGCGTCGTCCGGCCGTTCAAAAAAACCCACTTGCACACTCACAGACCCAGCAGCACGCGCTATCACTACTTATACCAGCGCTGTTTGTTGGCTTACGACAGTGTTTTCTTCACTGGACCTCTTGGCGCTCCGAACGGTGTAGCTCCGGTGACAAACTCATGTTCAAACAAAAATCTTGGGAAGACGAGGTAAAGATGAGTGATACGTTTCCTTTGAGACGTTTGCTTCTGCGTTCCTCGTTGCGTCTACTTTTGCTCGTAGTGAGCACCGCCTTGTCGTTCTCGGTGCTCAGCTAGAGTCGAGATTGTGCAGTTTCCAGTAGAGAACGCTAGAGAACAGGGTTAGCAACTATCAAAGGTGGTCGGAGTCAGTCACTTCGTCTGCAGTGCGATGATGTGCTGGCAGACAAACTGATTGATACTGCCCACAGTTACAGCCCTAGACGCACTGTCATGGCAGTTGACTATGCCTTTTCAGCGTTCGGTTACTCCAATCTATAGCTGGTGCTCACTCGAGCTCTATACGTCGGCAACGTCAGCGGTGGTGGCGGCAAACCAGGCGTTTTTTGAGTGATACTCAGAGCAGATACACTCACCCTGGCCTCGCCTTTAACAACGGCAGAGCGAGCAACTACAGCAGCAGCAGCAGCAGCAACGTTAGCAAAAGTAGCAATGCTGGCAGCCGTGAACGCAGCAGCTTCCGCTGGATCCACAGAAACAGTTCAGCGATATCAATGGCAAGAGCGGCGCTGGCTGAATCCAACGATGCTAATGTCAGAAGCCTGCGCCGCGATTGCCTTCGTCGTCGCTAATAGACGTTCGCTGACACTGCCTCCTTAAGGCGTTCGGCGCTACGCAAAACCTTTACAGCAGTGACAATAGTACGGATTCTGTTTCGTCTCGGACGGAGACGTCGCCGTCAACTTCTCGATCGGCCATGCGCCGTGACCCGCCGCCGCAGGCCGTGCTCCGTGTCCGTATAACAAAAGTAAGGCTATTTCAGCAACAACAACAGCATCCAGCAGAACATCGACGAGACGGCAATAGGGATGCAACAGCACGCTACGACATGGGCTCGATGACGGCCCAGCCGCAAGCGTCGGCTAGCGACTCCTCGCACGACTGATCCATAGAGCCTTCGCTCGTTTCAGAACCGTTGAGTATAACATACGTGAAAGGGGTGCCGTGGGTACGGATACGTATTTGATCTGTCGAACGCATACGTTCCGAATAAAGCAACAAAACGGATTCGAACTGAAGACTGGCAAGGGGTGCGTTTCGTATCGTAAAAAGGTGGTGTTTTAGTAGTTTTTTATTAGTCGCTAGCGGGCTCGTACTTTTAAGAAGAAGAAAATTTAGACGCGCCAAAAGCCAGTGAACAATGATCTGTCACATCAGTGTCTAATACACCCATGCCTATGAGCAGTACACCGTACTTTTTCTGTAAACATTATTTTTCTTCATTGGGGGAAAAAAACTAAAAGATACAAATAATGCTCAGAGCAAAAAAGCACCATCAAATACCGGTTACAATTGCAATAGGCGCTCACTGATATAACGATAGAGGTATGGTTATTTATTGTTTGCTAAGCAGAATGCCTCTTGCTGCACCCTCTTGAGTGTTCAGCGGCGTGAACCAGTTCCAAAAGCGCTCAGGAGGAACACCGCTATCCGGGGGGGGGGGGAGAGGGACTCCACGTGCTCCCTCACCTATTCGGTGGCGCTCCTACATATTTCTGGTCGACAAACGCCTGCTCCGGTATCTCTGTGTCGGATCTGTTGCTAGCGGCATTCCGCGGCTCTTCGTCGATTTTACCTTTTGCTCATACTCGGAGCGGTTGCTGCGGGCCGTATACCCGACGTTTATGTATGATAATATTACAACAACAATAGAGGTTACCATGGCAGAAGCGCCGCCCAAAGAAGCGGTATCAAATGTTTAAGAAACACATACCAGCAAAGAGACGGAAAAGTCGTTTTGGCTCTCTTTCAAACACAGCCCAGCAGCTATCGCACCCTTTTTGTTGTCTTGTTGACGCGCCTTGAAAATGTTGGCCAACATTCGCTAGTGTCTAGGTAGATTAGAATAAACGACGATGACGGGTCGCTTCCATTTAGCGGGTCGCGCGGAGCGTCGTTCAGAGCTCCGGCTGGCAGAGGGACGGTTTTGACGCCTTTTCTTAACTGCTGTTTCTTTCTAGCCAATGATAGAAGTTTATTTCATTAGCTACTTTGACCCGCGCCGGCTCTTCTGCGTCAGGTCGTCTTCCTCTAGTGGCTAGAGTAGCCGATCTGCCGCCGCCATTAGCTCCGCCAACGTTTTCAAAGGTAGCTGCAAGGAAGGTGACGTTGGCACTGCAAAAACAGTCGACGATCCGTGTGGAAAGGCTATCTGAAGAGAAATCTTGTTATACTGGAATGCGCATATTTATCACTATACCAACTTCTCTAGAGGCAAGAATTGTCAAGGTAGCAACGGCCGCAACGTAAATCCTATTCAATTGCGCTCATCGTCACGTAAAAAGTAGAAGAGGATAGACCGCAGCCCAATAGGTTTCAATACATTCAAACGTAGCGTGGCATGATTTGCTACTGACAGTAATAAACAAGTTAATCTTCCCGCAACAATAGATCCGTTTTTATCTTCTAGACAGCGTTAGAATCAATATATTTCGCCGCTTCCAGCCAGGAAATGGCGCTAGTATCATTCGTGTGTGGTAACAATTTTTCGATTTTTATAGAAGAGAAGATTTGCTACAAAGCAGAATCGGAAGAAAATGTCTGCTTAGAACACTTATCGGTTATAGTCGCAAAGAAGCTTGGCTTCCGAAGAGTGAAGATATAACACGTAGGGAAACTTGAAAAGTGCCTGGTTGGAAACGCTAGCTAGACATTGAATGTAAGAAAAACCCGCATCGACTCTGTTTTCGATTATAAGATAAGATCAAATGATTCATCTTTCTTACAGCGGAAACGAAACAAATATATATTAAAGGATGTTTTTATAATCGCAACTATTTTAATATATATCATAAATAATTTGTTAGTGCTTGTTTATCTCACCGATGTAGTGCAGCGGATGGACTGATACAAGCCTGATAGATATGGATGAATAACAGGTAAACACATTGTTAATATAATTGTTTTTGACACAGTGGACTAGAATTGCTCGGTTGTGTTATTCTTTAGACTAAGAAATCACGTCAAGAAGAATTATATTACTCAGAACTGTATTGAGTGTAGTACTTTTGTCCGCAAGGCTGCCTTTTACAATAATCTCCCACTATTAAAGGGTATTTGGCCGCGTAGCGTATTTGTGGCAAGCGTTTGCCCCAGCGGAGTTCAGGGTAAAGGAGAATGAGTTAATACGAAAGAAACGGAGAGCTAACTCGAAATAGACTATGGAAATATAAATTTATATTTCACTAGGCTTATCCGCGTTCCGTTGGCCGTACAAGCCAGACGTGTCGAGATTTATAATTGTTGACACTTTCTACAACAAACATTACGTATCTATATAAATCTGTGTAAAAAGATTCGTTCACTTACGACATACGAAGTAAAAATGCACGCGAACATGTTCACTGATTAATGTAGCCTGGGCTTTGTTGAATTATTGCCAAACATTGGCTAATTAGAACTGGGTTTAAATTCATGTTATGCTGTGACAAGAAGTAACTTCTAAGACAGGCTGGCCAGACTACGTTAGCGCTTTTTCCTACTAAGTCGCTTTCCGACTGACTGCCTAATTCACGACCAGCGGCCACAGCGAAGTGTGTAGTCAATCCCCCAAGAACCTCACGCTGCTTGAAGCGTTGAGTCTCAAGTCGTAATTTAGCCGAAGTGTTTGTACCGTTATATTTTACGTTTAAGTGAAATTGTCAGTTTGTTTTTATCTTTGTGACTATAATTAATATGGTAATTTACTTGGCAACATATGTCGGTAATTAATCGCAGTAGATAGCTGAAGATCTTTTCCTTTTCCTAATTCAGTCGGTTCGCCATGGGAATGAGCCACATAGGAACGGGTAATTTCTAGTAGTTCCAGAGATGTTATATATTTAATTACTTTTAAATACTGTATTTGCTATACTTCTTTAGGGTCTAATAGGTCGGTATCGAAATCCACTATTTGCTTAGAAAGAATACAGCTTTTCTGTCCTTTACAACGAAAACGTTCATAGTTGTTTAAGAGCGGTATAATGATTACGGTAATTATTCTTAGTTTATAGTTCATTTATATTTTACTCAGTGCTAGATAAGATATCGCAAACCCGACAGAGTCCTTCTCGATAACTCCCAATTTATACTCTAAATTGTATTTCTAGTATTAGTCCTACTTAAAACACTTCAACACGAAATACTGTTTTTTTTTTCCTGGTATTTTATAGGTCACGAATGCCTAAATAGTCTAGCTGTTCGACGCCTAGACGATTGATTACTTTATTTTGTATATACGTCATATACGACACGACATATAGATGTATGTGGAGTATATATTAGATAAATATGTTACTTGAGCCAATTGTATTTTGCCCTCTATAGATATTTTTTTCGATCCTTAAAGGCTCTTTAGTAATATGCTGTCATTTTCATTCCAGCCGTGCCGTACGACGTGATCGATGCCGACTTGTTACACTTTTTAGCAAAAAGCATGCTTTTCACACGTGGGCTATTAGAGTATCCAACGGATCTACAACGTTGAAACTTAGGCAGCAATCATTCTACATGTGACTCACTAAATTTCAGGGAAGCACACTCCAAACGAAGTTCGCAACGCAAGCCAGTTCTGCGAAACTCAGTCTGTCTATAAACTTATTTCTGTGTTTGACAAGAAAAAGCGCTTTGATCGACAGTCTCCTTAACAAGGACCAGTCTCCTTTGAAAGCAACAAGTGAGAGGCGTAAGCGCCTGTGCCAATCATTGTCCGTGATCCTGATTCCTGTACTATGCATGATTCAGCACGAAGCAGCGATATCATTAAAGACAAAACCGGATTTTGCCAAAAGTGTTGTCGCTTGTAGCTTATCTGTCTGAGCGGCAACTTAATCAAGCAGGATTTTCGGATCTTTTAGGTCAATGGATTGGCGACGGTCTTTTTTTTATGTGATAGTATTGCACCTTACTCGACGATGACGAAAACTTCGTCTGGAAACCAAGGTCGATCAAATCATGCTTAAACATGTTGAAAAACATTTTGTTCTACTTTCCTTCAACGGTGTTTTGACTTGCAATAAATTTTGCCTCGATCTTTCTTTCACCTGAGAACAACATTACCCCCTTACTATGCTATGTCTAACTATATTACGGATCGCACGCTACCACGTTGAAAATAGGGTGATAGTGGCATAACAACAGTGAGATTGAGTTCCATGGCCGTCTGTTTCAATGGATTAATGGATAGCTTGGATCGAAAGCATACGGAGACTAGAGGCAATCACTGCCAAAGCCTCCTGTTCGAGATAACGCTGAATCTTCGTTTGAGAAAGTAGTCTATAACCGATTTTTTCTTAGGGTGAACTCCGGTAAATTTCTGGTTAGTTCTAACTGGTTACTGGCTGAATGCGATTAAATAGTAATGTATATAATATGTCACCTGCGTATAATAATTACTGATCCAAATCACGAAGTTACATCAACTTAGCGTTGCCTGTAGTTGAATATTGTAAAAGTTATTTTTGACTGATTGTTTCAGCTGTGATGTGTATATATATATATATATATATACAGAAGCTGAAAAATATGAACGACCCTTAGTAAATTATCGAAAACCAATGATGATAAAGCGGCGAGCGAAATTACTTTGAGAAAGCACACTTTATATAGGTACGATTCCGGAATTATAAAATTAAATCTATAAACCCTTTTTTTTTTGCTTATCCAAATTATTTTTTGGTGAGAAAAAATGACTGAGGCTAGTGAATCGGTTTTGCCTCGATTTCGAGGTCGTAACAAATGACATCGCTAAAAAAATTAAAATTTGAAATCGGTCATAGTGGATCGCTTAAGTCGATACTTCGAGGTTTTATGTTAATTTCCTAAGTGGATCGAAGGTACTTGGCGGTGATATCAAAATACCGCTTATTTCTTTCGGAACGTTTCTGATAAAGTTGTTCGAATTAGACAAATCGACTTGGAAACGATCGACGATTAGCTCAGTTTCCCATTTCAGAACGGGTCATCTGTATAAGGTTTAGAGTACGCGTATTCGATGGACGTTTGTTTCACCCTTGACCACTTGTCTTATCGGGACGTCAACTGGCGGTTTAACCCTGAATCTTTAGAGCACCTTCTGAATATGGCAAAAAATGAACAAAAGACAAACTCCGATAGAGCGAAAATATGTAAAATGCGCCCCAGATGTAGGGTCATGCCAATAAAGAAGACTGGAAAACGAAACGTTTCGCTGGCCAAATTGGCGGGTACAGTAATGGTAATCAATGCGCCGCTTGGAAAAAAAACGTTTTGCCATTAAATGCTCATGTCTCCTATACGTCGAACGCAATTGTAAATGGTTAATCCGGGAACGGACGCTATTTGTACCGGAATGTCTCTAAGCACGTAGAACACCGGAGACGATTGTGCTTAGTAGAACCGTTACTGTTGACTATTACGGCCGATTTGGCTCACGAATGTGGTCAGCGTCGGGAAAAACGTTGCGAACATAGACAAAGTAATCGTTGACCCGCGTTTAGGGGAGATTCAGAACCTCTTTAGACTATTATCATTGACTGTGTGGACAATTTATCGTACTGTAAATTTAATCGATTGTTCAGTGGATAGCTCGACCTCTGCATAATCTGATAGTATCTGAGCGAAAGTATAGGGATAGAAGCGCTGGCTGCCACTGTGAACAATAATTAAATTGTATTTCAGTGCACCTATTCTCTGGCATTTAGTGCTCGGATGTTCGGATCAGACGACCCATAATTTAATGCTCCGAACGACGCATATTGGACAAGGGCATAGTGATGGCTGTCAGTGTCATGTTTGCTTATGCGATGGGAACATGAGTAGGTCAGATTAAAGCTATAGGCATGCAACCCATTTAACCTATATCGGCAATGTGTCTAACGATATTGCTAGAAGTAACAGCGAGGCCCAGTAACGGCGCGTTTGAATCAACTGAACGTTTCTCCCATTTTCGTATCCAGTAATGGCTGTTTTTTCACTATATTATTTAAGCTAAATGGCTGTAGTTCCGCTGCTTCGGAAACGTCTGAGAAACCCTCGGATCAAGAAGATTGCTTAAGAGACGCAATGGCGCTTTAGTTGCACCAAAGCTCGCTGCAGCTAAATACAAAGTAGAACATACTGTAGGGAAATATACCACCATAATACAAGAACGCTGTACAAAAAATCTCACTGACTGATCACTTATTTGATCTTCGCGTTCCATACGCACACTCCAATTAAAAAGTTCGAGCAAGTAACTGCAACGGCTGTTTACGGCAACGTTAGATCTGTACAAAACCGTTCTTCACGATGAAATTGCCTACAGTCAGTTTCCCAACGTTATCCAATGTAATAAAATTCCGTTCTTATGTAAATTTCTGGGGTTTCTTTATTTAATTTCATGGTTATTGTGTTCATGCCTGCTGATTTATATATTATTTGAAATTTCTCAATTTTTTATATACTGCCTACCCGTTGATACGTGTGTTAGGGAAGGTGTTGTGAATTAAGACACAGTCATTGTACGTATTTGTGACCACTGAAGCTTCCTGCAGGCGCCACGTATATACGCCGATTGGAACTCAGGTTTGAAGCATAACTAACTTCCCTATCTATAATTAAATTATTTATAATTTTATTATTATTATATAATTAAAAGTAACAATTAGAAAGGCAAAGAGCGAACGTTTACAAACATAATAACATTAGTCATTAGTTTGTAAACGATACTTATCCGTTTATCTATAGATGTACACACAGTGTTATTGTGCCATACGACATATGACATAAACCGCTTAGAGGGGTTGGTTATGACTCGATGCTAGTTCTTTTCTATCAAAGCCTGGGATCTGCACTTTCTGGGGTATTTATTCATAACCGAGCGATTTAATTCGCTCGGATCCCTTTTACATTACCTATTAATATTGAGAAAGGTATTGCAAAGTAGATTCGGGCTTTCATTTATTAACAGAAACCATGTGCTGTCATAGAAGAGGACTTCAGGGGAGTTAAGGGTCTTCCTACTTCGGTGCAGAGAATGCTTCACAAAATATTAAAGATTTGATTAAATGCCCCTTTTGAATGAGTAGTTGCATTTCGTTCGATATATTTGCATTTACTCGGTAAAAAAAAAAATAGCAAATCTGTACTTATTTTAAATATTATCGTTTGAATAGGTTTCCTAAAGAGCCAGATGTCATCCTCCGAAAAACCATCAATAGAAACCAATGTAGATTCTCACAATTACGTAAATCGCCTATCGATCTCAAAAACCTCTCCTTGAGGTTGTAATAAAATAAGCAATGTAATGGCCGGCAGTGCCACGACATTTGTTTTCAAAGCAGGAACAATCATATAACCTAGATTTAGATCAACTAAACTGAAAACGGATGTTTAATGGCGTTAATTTCTCTTTGAGCAACGGAGAGAGCACGAATGGCACATCTCGGCTAGCTACAGTCGCTGCTGGATGCGACCTATTTGTCGTCTATAATCCTTTTACGCATAGAGCTTCTTTATATTAACGTTAGTGCTATTCTATTTTAATTATATTCGCTCGTTTTGCTGTCCCTTTTCCGTTGACACGTTGAATTATCTGGACGTACTATACTAACTAGAATATCTGTTTACCAAAGCAGGCCTCAAAAGATCCATCATCGTAAAAGGTGCCTGGTTCCGGTCAAAGATCAGCCCTTAAGAATGACGTGATGAAGTTCTGTGGTGTCTTAACTATTATAGTGAAAAAGCACGTCGTATTAGAAACAAGCAGAATTCGTTCATCAGTGTTTTGTCAAATTGTTACTTCTGCAATGGCAGCATCAATAAATGGGCTCTGATCAGACGTCTACGAAATGATTACCTCGACCAAAAACGATGGCCTGATGAAGACTGTTGATTTGTCTAACGTGCGAAATATACAGAACGTCTGTGACAACGTCTGTCTACAAGTATCCACTACGATTGGAGACCTTTCCAAAAATAACAGCTCGACGACAGAACGCTCCGTCGCGGACAATTATTTCTTAGTGCTGTATGATGCCGCTTCTGATGCGGTCCGACCTAGAGCTCACTATGCGCATTGATGCTTACTCTTTGCTACGCACCGATTAATTCGTGGTTTTCCGGCCTGGAAAAGTTGTCTTCACATTTTCCGTAAGTCTTCGTCTCAGTCAACTTCGTTATAGCCGCTTGCGCTTCGAGAAGTTTTTTTTCCAGAGTAAAGAAGTTAATCCATCTGTCATGTAAAGCGGAGAGATGTTAGCACTGCAATTCTCTAATAGAGTTTCATCTAATTTTGCAAAAAAATCATCCATTCGGTTTTATTCAGATCGTAGTTTTCTCGGAATTATGAAGTTGTTATAGGCAAAAATATAACTTTAAATTGAAGACGAACTGTTTAATCAGCTTAGATGCCTTTTACACTATGTGTAAATGTATTGCATTATGGAAAAACTTTTCTCTGCTAACTTAAATCGAACGATAATGCAATAATTCCAAGAAAATTATTATACTATCAAACAGTTGCTGCAGTTAACGTTTTGCTTGACGCCACGCAGCGCTCTTCTAGAGAATTGAGAGCCTGGTTCCATCTCTAGTAAAGCCAGCTTTGAGACAATTGGACCTCGATATGATCAACTGATTCTGTATATAAACGTTGGCCTTAAAAACTCTGTCCTATCTAAACTTATAATTTACCTGAGCTACTGACGACGTCACTGGCCCTGACAGACGCCCATTTGGGTTCCTCAAGTGTCGTACGTTGAAGCGCTTTCGTTTCGGTTATTTGGACAGGAAAGAAATTCTTCCAAACGGACATATTTCTAGGGGTGTTTAACGGGAATGCTAGTCATTGTCCCCTGGATGGACGCATATGGGCGTACTGCATTTTGCAACAAAAAATACAACAGTATTGGCCCGATCAAGTTAAGCACTTGTAAGTCACAGCACTTTTTAATAACACTTTAGCAAAATATAGATGAAAAGTAACGCTCATCTGGAACTTACCTGAATTTTAAAGCCGCTCACGAAATCGCTGTTTTCCAACAAATTTCAATAACAAAATTCATATATGTGACTCCTCTATGAAGCACTATTACGACTATAATCATATATTCCCTAACTATTATGCTATTCAACAATCTACAGTAAATAATTTTCGAGTAACATCGATTTCGCGTAATGGCCATTTATTACCGAAATAAACAACTTGTAAGGATTGTGTTTTTATTTATGGGTTATATATGTATCACTCGTATTGTGTATTGTACAAAACATACCATGTTCCTTTCCTCAACAAAGCGTCGTCGTCTTATCTAGTCTAGCTTCTTCGCGAGGAAAACTCATCCCCTTTTTCGTTATCATCACACCTACACTTGTCGTACGTCTAGTGTTAAGATCAGCTGTACGGAGGCTGTTATATACATGAAACTTCCGATCGTCACCAACGGAAGCATTACTTACATATTATTGTTGCCATCGTGTTTATTTGTCAACAGTTATTTACCAGCTATCATACAAGCCACTTCGCGTTGTATAACAATCTACCATACGTAGCTCTGTCACTATGGCGAGGGTGACACGGCTCAGCATTGTATAAGATTTAAGGCATTTACAAAACCCGCTGCGCCTAAGGATTTTTCCGTATCTCTATATACTATATACGTATCTATAGGAAATAGCAACACTGAGCCTTCATAATCAAGGATTATAGCCTATCTTATGCAAAAAATCGGCACAATTCCAAGTGCTGCCAGCTGTGTAAGGATAACAAGGAAGAGATTCAACATGGGGTCCTGTAGTCGTCCGTGTAGTACTTGAACAGCAGACGCGGAAGAAGATCCGTCTGGAATAGGGTATGATGAAATGTCAATATAGTGTTTACTTATAGAGAAAAAAACACACTGTATCTGATAAGCAGCAACGGGTATATAGTAGTCAATGTTTTTGAATAGCCAAGTTAGCTTACAACTCACTACAGAGCCCGCATCGGTGTCCATAACGTGATAACTATTGTCGGCGCAGAATTTCAAAATGTGATTCAGCAGTATACATCCATAGATTTGTTTCGGTACGGGCTTGCATGTTTCTGAAGCTCGGTTTTGAAGACAAATAGATCTAGCGATTTTAACCGCTTACCGCTACTCAGTCGATTTCCATACTTTCCACTGGGCTTCATCGTCTGACTTGCGCTGCCTTTGCCCTGCAGACGCCAGAAGCTGTTGGACAGGTTTCTGTTGTACGGACTGTGTTGTCGATTGATATCGTAGATATTGACAAATGGAGACTGAGCTTCGGTGGTCACTGACCAGTGGAGTAATGGCGTTGTGCTTTTTCGCCCTGGTTGAGCTGAGGTTGGCCGATGGGCTGGCGGACGTCGACTCGAGGCTGTCCCATGCTTACGAGAAGACTTTATTGGTCGAGATGTGCTTGTACTTGGTATTGTGGTCGGGCTTGGAGTGGACCGGCGCTCTGTTCACGAAGAAGACAAACGACTCGAGCAGCTTATTCGGCAAGCAAACTTAGAATACTTCAAGGTCGCATCTTTTTTGTTAAAGAAAGCATAACATGTAAAGGAGAACAGAAAGGTTTTTCAATAGAAACCGTACCAATTATTGTGATTTTAGCCTCGGTATGCCCTATACTATTTTGTGCAGTACAGCGGTACGTGCCAAAATCGCTTCCTTGGTTGACCCTCACTCGCAAACGCATGAACGTTTTAAGGTCGTCCTGGCTGTTTGATGTATGATATTTACTATCGGAACCGAGTCTTTGCCCCCGATGTAGCCAAAGATGTTCCGCTTTAGGGTATGCCTCGACGTGACACTCCACGATGACACTGTCTCCAAGAGACGCTTGAACAAGTTGCTGCGGCACGCGGATCAAAGGGGGAACTGAAATAAACGTATTGCAATTTACCATAACCTGAATGTTTGGTAAATTACAATGGAATTCTACTGACATGATTCACGTTCATTTGATAGCTACACTCTACCTTGCCTTACATCCTAGTGTTACCCTGTCGATTTCCAATAAATTTTCAACCATGCATCAAAAACCTAGCTTTACTTACAAATGACTTCAAGGTGAATGCGTCTGCTTATTGAAGAAGGCACCCCATTAGATGCAAGACAGATATAAATTCCCATTTCTTTTCGACTTACACCTCTTAGATGCAATTCGGGTCCCACATGGGTCGTAGCCCTATGGCGTCGTTCTATATTAAACACCTAAAAATTAAGCAAGTTTCTATAAGAGTCTATAAGATACTACAATCCGTATTGCTTCGTGCTTTCACCTGATATGTATCGTAAAGGTAAATAAATAAGATATTGTGTTAAGTCATGGTACGACAAGACGTCAGAGAGGTCTAGGGGAATACATTTTTTACATCGATCGGTAGCTGAGTGCGAGCTCTTTCACGAGTTAGTTCTCCCGAAAATTGTTTATACAATACGTGTCATGTGAACAGATACACAATGCGTCTGAAGGTCTTTCATGCGTTTTATGGCGCATGTGTTATTTCTACGAAGCAACAGCTCCACCTACCTGTGAATCTTCTCTTCGCCAGGTAATTTTCGGTTGAGGATTTCCTCCAGCATGACAACGCAAAACCGCGTTGTCATGTTCGCGCGTCGTCACATTATAGCCCGTGTTTTCTAAAAAGTAAGGTGCAACTAGAAACGCATTGAGGGACGAGTTTAGGATAGAGTTTCTATGACGTGTATTGCTTCTCCGTGTAGTAGCCGTAAACATGAACGAAACGATAGAACGAGTATTCAATATATTCGTGTCGGTGGCCAAAAGGTTATACATTTTAACTAACAATGATGCGACGACGAAAAAAATGTGTACGTCCTGTAGCTGTGTCAAACGCCTTTCGGATAGGACACAGTCGTTCGTAGCTAACTATGAAAATATATGGCTTCTGCTTCAGGTTTCACTTGATTCTTATTCATACTATGAAGAGATACACAATTGGACAACATTGTCCAAATAAATAGCTTAAATAATTGGTCTACATATTCAAATTGGAATAAAAGAAAAAAAAATGTGTAAATTTAGTGTGCCGATAGTATAACAGAAGAAACAGATGAACATATGTATCGCCATCGGAAAAAATGTATCTCTAGATCATAAAGTCAAACAAACTTACCGACAACGTTAAGAAATCCGACCTGGTTTCTCATCGGCCTCGTGTTTACCTGGCACATATAATAGCCAGAGTCCTCAGGCCGGACATCGGTGATTAGTAAGGAAAATTCACGATGCGCGAAATGATTTACTCTGACACGTTCCTGGTTGGCAATTACGTGTGTGTGAACCGCCAGCAGAGTTTGTTTGTCCACATTAAGCCAGGCGACCTATGCCGATTTCGAAATAATCAGTGTCAAATAAACATGGCGTTTTTCAATTTTCGTCTAGATAGAGGGATATATAGATAGGGGTCTTTTCCGATTAATAGACGTATACTAAAAATAAGGTTCTATAAATAAGAAAATAAGCTTAAAGAATAATACTAATAATTAGTATTAATATCGTGAGGTGAGCGTTTTAATGATTTTACATTAGTTATGACATACAATCAAGCGAAGTACGTAGTCGATCCAAACGTGATACTGTGTACGATTGTTTGTATAAATATGAAACAGCCTTGATACGAAGTGACGAGGCTCAGACTACACAAAATGATAACAGATTAACGATAGCCTAAGATATATATACATACATACATACATATAGATCTAATAACATCAAGCAAAATCTAAATGTACAGTATAATTTCCCAAATTGTCGATGACGCATTTCAACTCAGCGGTTTTGCCTGCTGCTACAGTGACGCTTGGTATGGGCTCAACGAAGTTCGGATCTTCCTGTTCCAATACGATCGGACGATACGGGTATTGTTCTTCTGTAATAATAAACATATCGTAAATGTATTTCGTCACTTTTCCCATAGCCCTGAACATGCCCTGGCCACAGTAAAATAGGAACTAACCCAACAATTCATGGGGAAATAGGAAATGTTTTAGACCAATTAATGGAGAGTGTGATTTTGTGCAAGTTAGGACATGACTATTTGAAGTTCGTATACAGGAAATATCTAGCTTAGGATTGTCATTGTATGCACGTACGTTATATCTATTTGTCACCGAGGAAAGGAGCGTGGAAAGCAACTACTGAGGAATACTGTCAAATTCTGCAACAATGTCTGGTAATCTTTCCCTTTTAATGTTTTTAGGTTTGAAATGACTCCATTGGAAATGATCGTACGCTTTTACTAGCTATTTTCTGCACTCAACATTTCTAATAGTACGTTCACTTACTGTGAAGCGTAGGTAATTCGTTGCTCGAGTCTTCTTCGTCGTACTCAAGGTAGTCGAGGTCGAGAGAGATATTTGGCCGGCGAGGTTCATCTTCCTCAAGTGAGCGATGCCGCCGCAATCGTCGATGTAATAAATGCGCGTCACGCTTCAAAGGAACATATCCATGTTTCGTCTGCGGATTACAGTAGAAAATTACTATGTATTAGTTTACTTTGCTAAGGCAGCACCGTTTCGATAATAGTACAAAACAATACAGTAATTTATACAGAACAAAATTCGTGTTATTTTTATTTTCTGACACGGCTCGAGGTCGACCACTTGGCGCTTTGTGAGAGCGCATAGCTTCGAATGAAGTAAATTACGGATGGAGGATCTTACCATCAAACATTTGTACTAGGCATTCCGAGTAGCATTTATATGAATATAATGAGACTCTGTAACTCTTCATGCAAAGCTTAGAGCCTGAGTATCCCTGTGCAGCTACAAGTATACTCTCTACCGTGACCTCAGTGCGGTGCCCTTGTGATGGCACAATCCCTATTACACTTCGAGACATGTGATGGTGGAGTAGGTTCGAAACCGGACGCAGACACAAGGTTTGCCTTGTGCTGGAAAGGACCAGCCGTCTGGAACCATGCTAAAGTAAGCCTAGTACATTTTTCAGCTTTCAATGCGATACAACATATATACGTATGCACAAAAATACACGGATGTGCTTTTTGTTTTCTTCTAGAGACTTTCACCCTAACAGTCACCGCCAGCCGTTTACGCTTCTGCGTAGCCGTCACATATTATAACTAGCTGAGTTCGTAACTAAGGGGACGACTATTGTTACAGGATTCTGGTGCTGGCAGAAATGGCACTATCCTTCGTAGATTTCGTCAATCGTTCATGAGTTAGCTTCACGGCATCTCTTTACGTTGTGCAAATAATCCTGCTTTCGATTGTATTGGCTAAACTATCTATTCGTTAGAAGATACATTGTGCTGGCAACGATAAGAACCCTGACATGCGTAGTAAGTCCGATCCAACTTACCATATGCGAAACGGTGCAAATCAGAAAGTTCCATTGATGTAAACATACTGTAAGTTCATCCATTGGGCTAATGTGTGGTGGACCTCGGAAAGTTTAAAACATAAAATCGAATGATAATTATAATTTTTTTTTCATACAACATCCTTGAGTATTCTACGCCTTAGCTCGTTGTTTTGTGTCAAATAATATTCATATGAAATTTACGTGTTTCAATGGTTTGTAAGTATGTCGCATATTTTTTGGGCTTAGGCAAGGATAGGGAATGAAGTATTTTTCTCCCTATTCAAGGATAGGGAATTACGTTATTTAAAGTTTAGTTACAAAGGTTGAAAAAGCACTGCACTTTTATAAGTTCTCTTGACGCAACTCTTGATGGACCGATTAAAGTGCACTTTGATCCCGTTAAAGAGCCTAACAAAATCACTGTAAGGCTCTTTAATGGGCTAGTACAAAGATATCACACAGGGATCCGATGTTTATTTCCTTAAATGAAGAAATGTCCATTTCTCAGGTAATTGAGATGATGCAATATGTGGAGTTGTCAATTCAGGAAAAAAAATTTTAAGTTTCCTAATTAATATTGCGCCTTTTGAACTCTTATTTTGAAGGCAAGCTTCTCATTACGTTTAATTGAAGCCCAGCAGGAAGGACTCAAGTATTAGGTCTCAGTGAATCAGTAGGGAGTACAAAGTCGTCCACATAGGCCACTCATTGTAGATTCCCTCAATTCGAAACCAACCTACGCTAGATATAATAATGGATATTATTCTAGGGACGTTTGTAACTTATCCACGTCCGCGGGGTGCGCATCTAGATTGTTCTCGAACATCGTTTTCAATGTTTCAGGACGATCAACAAATACCGATAAGCACGGTTTGAAATCGAAGTATGCCATACATGGAAAGGGTCAGTCGCGCAAGAAATGATCGCGAAACCAGGGTGCAAACTATGCAGTAGTAGTAATAATGTGTTTTACTTATTCTCATCCAGCTCCTTTTATGACTACGAAGCAACCCAATTAGGATATGAAGACGTATATTACCCTATAGATAAAAGCAAGTCTTCATGTTAGCACGGTTGCATCTGTAAGCTTATGCTTTCTTTCCTCAACCCTAAACGCACCGTGAATCAAATAGAAACGTGTGAAAATAGGTCGATCTTTCACAACTGTAACTATCAGGCCGCAGGCCAATCGAGATTAACATAGACAAGAATATTCGGTGCTGATCCGGTATGAATTATAAGTCAGCAACAACAAGCCGTGGTTAATCGTGCATAAGCCTCGACAATTTCGTCTTACGCTTTTTTTTTTTCTATTCAAAGAATAGTATTCATGCCCTTGGGATCACCCTGTCGTTACATTGATTAGAAATAACCTAAGAACCCACATTCTATGTATACAATTGCACTCAGTTAAGCCTGCACAAATGGCTGTCCATATTTATACGAATCTGAATTGGAAGAAGTAATCAGGTTCGTACTCCTTTTACTTCAAAGAGTATATATATGTATACAGTATTCAAGACAACGCAGAATTCTCGGCTGTGACAAGAGCGCAATGCAAACAAAAACACTATGCGATTCGGGTAAATGCCCTCACACCCTTAAGCCCAAACCGTCGGCTGACTTTAGACTGCAGTCGCTCTCCTAACACTTTGTCCTTTCACGGAACGCCCGTGCTCTGGTCTCAAAGGGGGCGGATTCCTGCTGAACCCAGATGACTTGCGAGGATGAAGTTATTATAAACCAGCTCCGCTTAGAGTTACTACGGCAGGCGTAATGAAGCTGGCAGCTGCTCTCTCCTCTGCGAGTCCAGTGGTCTATGTACAGCTTTTTCACCTTCTAAGTTTCTCTCCGTCTAGTCTAGAGCCATAGGCAATATCCCTTTGCCCCTACGAACCGTTGGACGTGAGAACGCAAATGTGATTCGAATTTGCTTCATTCTCAACCACCGTCAGACCACGCCACTTTTCCTCGTGGTCGGGGAGGGTGGCAGAAAGGGTCGCTTGCCAGCACAAAGTTTAAACTCTTCGAAATGGTCGGTCATAGAGCCAGTTATGTGATGGGGTAGGACAGTTAGAATCCGAGTGACTCCAGTAGGTAGCTGGGCTACCTATGTAAACCACGTTTAGCCACGTGCTTTTCATGACCGCCTTGCCTTTTGAACTTGACAAAGATGTAATCAGACTAACTGCACGTTACGATATACATAGTGACAGAGCTGTTTGGTGGCATGAGCTAGAAGAGTCAAGAAGTGTTTGAAAACCTTTGGTAACATTCAGATTAGGTGGCGTGTATTATTAAGCCTGTGTGGGATAATATGTGCGTTGTCATCGAGGTAAATCTATGAGGGGAAAAATCTTTTTTAGTTATATTAGAAGATAGGTGTACGTATAGAATAACTTAAAAGAGACAAAGACAGAATAGAATTATACCATTGGTGAACGAGGCCTTGCACCTGAACTCTGGATTCCGACGAATAAAATACACAGAGCTGAAAAGAAAAATAAATGTTTTAGTAGATCTAAACGTTGTATTAAATTTCAAAGTTAGACATATAATAAATATAGTGTGTATTGTTATATTTCATTTCGAAGATACACATTGTTTACTTATATTTCATGGAAATAGAATCAATGTCTTTTGACAGCTCTACAAGAAAAGCATGCCTGTTGTGCCGTGAATGGATAGACGCTACCCAGGAGAGGTTGAACGAAAACTAACAGATATAAACCTCGTTGATGCCTTTAAAAATGATAAGTTTTACTTGGTTGTCAGGCTTGAAATCCAGCCCGAGGAATAGCACGTTCACGATACGAAAATGCTATTCAATCAACGAGCGTTGGTCTTGACGGAACGCTCTAGAAAATTTGTCGCCTCTTACGGAAAAACAGTGAAAAAATATGTGAACGTATATTCCTGGTAAAGGATAGAACGTCTATGAATGTGAATGAAACTAATAATAGGACGCTTCCTATTCTATAGCAAAGTTCCGACAGCCGGGATCAGACCAGCGGCAATTTCACTGATCAGTGTTACGCCACTAACCGGTTGATGGCTTTACGCCCATATCATAGCCTTTTCAATGACCAATGAATGTTTCAAATTTGACGTCCGCTGCTCTCAAACATTTCTTCAGAGTGCTGGCTCATTTCAACACGAAACGAAGTGTGTCTACATCTGGCTTCAGGCTAAACGATCGAACCTATCCTTATGCTAATAGGGCAAACAAGTAATCAGTGCGCTATTACAGGGATCCGTTGACGGCCAATTAAGCTCGTGCAAGCTGTCTTTTGTTTGTCTGACTATGTACGCATGCTCACTCTGGATTCATCAGACCTTCACCATAAGGCAACACACACATGGACATTGTCTATGTTGGGGTTTAACTGCCACCATTTGCCTGATCGATCTCTTGAGAAACTTTGATCAAGCGCCCATGCTATTTTGTTGCCTTTACGCGTTTTGCGCCACCATAAACTTAATCCAGTAAGCCACCGTCAGGCGTCTCTCTCTCTCTCTCTCTCTCTCTCTCCCTCGCCCTCCCTCCCTCCCTCCCTCCCTTACCGTATCCCATCCGTCGGCTTTTCGCATTAGCCCATTTAAGTAGAGTCTTGAACAAGCGCAGGACGGGATGGTTGTAACGGAAGTAATGTATTAGTAGTAAAAACTTCGCAATCCACTGAAATGGGTAAAAAACGAACGCTTAAAACCTTTTAGCGTTAGATAGGCAGACAGAGTCGCGATCGTAGGATCTGTTTTAAATTCTGAATGGATTTGCTATTGGACACACGCTACATGTGGGTTTTGTGACTGCACCATGGTATAGGGTCTCTGTAATATCAGCGTCATCATATAGAGTAGAAATAGCCAACAGTTAAGTCTTCGACGATCGAAACGGATATAGGTTCAATATCGAATCATCGCTTGGTTCGCAACCGCTAACTGTTGGTCGGTTTCGTATTGAAGATGACTAAAAATGATGATGAATGCCGCAGATACCTCTCGTACAGAGGATACGATCATTGCTTCGACGTGTCTTCAAACAAATCGCGCCAATGGAGAGAACGCTAAAAGAAGTCGGGAACCAAGCAATATAGAGATGAAATCAAATGTGAGATATCGAACCAGCTTAGAGACTGTGTCTAGATATGAGTTTACCTGAAGGCAGCCTACTGCTATAATAAATGCAAAAGAGATGCAAGCGACTATAAACAGTTATCTATCTAATAGATGCCCCTACACACGCGGTGTGCGCAATTATAAAATTCTTATTTATTTGAAGATCTTAACGTGTTTGCCATGTACTCAATCGATTCGATTATGAAATAAAATCTCACAGTATAAAAAGTTACGCAAAGATTCTTCTATTAAATCTATATCCATACACACCTATTAATCAACGTCTTCTATTTACTAAGCTTCGCGCAGTGTGAAATAATACGTTACCTATGTACTAGTTCAATTTTAATGTTTGCAGATCAACTTCGAAATTAATAACCGTCTTAATAGTTAAATCGTATGACACATTTACCTCGTTGGGATATTAAACTTCAATTTGAATGCTTACACGGTCATCCACTTTCGATCAACTTCTCCATCTGCCTCCCCATCTTCTTTTTACCTCCAACAATTTGATTCTTGAATCCCCACATCGTCGACAGTTCCCCACGCTGAGCTAGGCCCCGCTCACAATAAATCGCTCCTAAATTGCTTTTGCGTTGTTTCGACTAGCTAAATGACCGAAAGCTGATCACGTCAATATGCTTGTGCTTCATTTCGGTCCTTATTGGGCATTGGAGAGCCCATCTTCATTCGAACTCTTTTTCAAACCTTCTCCGCTGCTACCGCGGCCACCGTTGCGTCCACCAATACGCTTCATAGTACAGCCTGGGCAAGTCCCGAGTTAACCTCTTCCTCACGTACGTAGCTCATGCAGGGTTCCACTGCAGGTGCGAAGGCCGGATGGTTCAGCGTGCAAGAAAGCAAGCCCTGCTTTTCGGTCTCGATCTGCTTCGACTTGACCATCATCGCGTTTCGTCATCTCCCTCCTCCCTAGGCCCTGTCTTTTTCATTCAGCAGAAATTTTCCTCGGAGGAAAGAGCTATAAGGGATAAGGATATGGAGGGAGACGAAGAAGAACACCAACGACAGCTGGTTAGTTGTAGCCACGGTGTTAGTGGAAGGCAGTCATCGTGGAACGGGCCAGACGCCACGAAAGGTTTTCTATCTCTCTTCGTTGCTCAAAACCCTTGAGTGCTTCTGTTTCGTTGCTGTTGTTATCGTCGGCGTCGTGTTTTTCTTATTCCGGCGCTAGCGCTTTTTCGTCCGTTTTTCTCTTGTCATCCTATTCTATGTATCCTGGCATAAGAATGGATAAAACTCATTCCTTCCTATACTTATTTATCGCAGACTTATGCTAAAACTGTAGCGGTTGGTGGTCTATAGGGAAATCATTTAGTCTTTTTCCCCACACAAATACACAGCGTGGAAGAAAGACACAGGGAGGGAAAGAGAACGAAAAGAAGAGAATCAAGAAAAGTTAGAAGTTTACTAAAGCAGTCCTTCTTTCTTCACACTCCAGTCATTCGACTATTCCACTGCCGCCGGTGTAAAGTCCCATTTCTACTATTACACTCGCACGGGGATTCTGCTCCGCCACTCCGCGGCCAGCTCTCTCTCACGATCCTAGTTCGCGCTATGGTGCGCCCAGCTTCATCCCTGTATAGGCATAACTTCTCCTTGATTCCCGCACCTCCAATGGTGCGTTTCTTCTATCTTTATTTGCGTTCCTTACCATAATGCCATCTGTGTTGGCTTCCTTATTCGTTCATTTAGCCGACAGCTCCTACTACTCAACGGTTTTACCTCGTCTGAACCCCTGCCTCTTCCTTTCCTCTTTGTCTAACCTTTAGTCGTAAATGAAAGCCGGCACTGAGTTCGTCATTTTGGGACTAGCCGAGTGCCGCCTCGAGTTCCTGGATGTCGGCGCCAGCATCCTGCATTCTGATGCCTCCCTTCTTACCCGAAGCCTAGCTCACAAGTATTGCGTGAGTGCCGCCCACTGACCCCATATCGCTTGGCGCTAGGGCTCGGTCGATCCCCAGTAAGCATCCCAATTCGTCGTCTTCCCGGAAAGAAACAAACCATTTCGTCGCCTATTACTTTTCTACTCCTCTTTCATCGCCAGTTCTGTCTATTTTTTTTTTTCGGAAATTGCTGCGTCTCGACCCAAAGGCCTTTTCTATATTGAGATGGGTCTTCCGCGAGGATCACGCAGCGTGCGTTGCGCAGTCCTATCGCGCACAACACATCGAGTAAGGCACTGCACGCGATAAAAATTCACAATGATCTACCTGTATATGTTATAAAGTCGAGCAATAGAAATCTAAGTATAATGCACATTGTACCTGTCTGAGAGGAATGTCTGTAAGGGCTTAGGGAACAAGTATTTATCTTGCCGTCGGTGGCTGTCAGCAAGGCGCATTAAAAGCCATGATATCAACGTATGCTTGACGACGAAGGGTACGGAGGACTCTTCCGACACTTTAAGTAGCTCGAGTCAAATTGAATGCCTAAAAGCAGAAAATTACTCCCCCTATATGAGTTTGTACTATTCGCACGTTTTAGCATGTAGCCCCGGGACACGCTGTAAGATGTTCCCTATGAATGAAAAAATGTATGCCTTTTAGATGGCTCGTCGTGATTAGCTTAATTCACTTTGTTAGTAACCGAAACTAAGCGAGATTTCGCCGTTCACGCTGTTTAGTATTAGAGCAAATAAACACTGCCGAGTGCTAGCGCGGTGAGACCTATTGCATGCTTAAAATTCAAGTAGATATTGATTTTGAACACGGCTGATCCGACTGGACGCAGATCGAGAACGAATGTAGTTCTTTTCTCCGACTCACTCACTAGTACTATGTACACATATGTATATCGCGTTACCTACGATTTAGCGTTACTGCGACCAACCTCATCAGGAATGCTGGGTAAATTCAGAGACGTCCGTATGCCAGTTGTCGTTTCCGTTTTTCTCATTGTTGATTTGATACAACTATACTGATATTAATCATCAATGAAGACCCGGGTCCACACTAGCCGGAAGCCAAAAGCACTAAAATGAATATAAGCTCCGTAGAATTTAAACGCCATTTGATAGTCTTCATGATATGTCGTAAATTATTTCGTCGGAATTTGAAGCGTAGAGAAGCCCTAATTTGGTACACTATGCTGCATATTTTGTAAATTACTACTACTATTTGCACTATAAGTATCGAGGAACAAGGCGTAATTCGAATATCCAGTCGCCCCGCCGCTACGCACGGGGTCCTTATGCACACTCGAATCCACTCTATTGATATCACAAGCAACAGCGATTTCTAAGAGCCGCTTACGTTCTGTATCGGCAGTACAACGCCGCTGGCCCTGCCTGATCTCAAAAGGCTTTGAGCTATGGCCCAACTGGCCGTAAAACTTTCCCTCCTCTCCTAT